TTTGTAATTTATCCCATCGACTGTTTTAAGTCGATCTATGACAACCAAGAACGCTTGAAAGGTTGCTGAAGAATGTAGTCGCTACAATTTTGTTTGACGTTGTACTTAATATTTAATAAACTTTTTTTCGTTCGAGATCAGAAATTCTTACTCATTGTCAGTGAACTTGCGAATAAATGCCATGTGTAATAAATAATACATCACCTTTTTCTTCTGTTGCAGATCTTTTCAAAGCACGACGAATTGGCAAATACAATTGAAATGCTAAACGACTGATGCTCAAGCTTCCGCTATTATGTTGTACAAGAAAACGCTTTTCCTTTGAAATAAAAATATTTAAACATATTTAGTGCTTTTCCCATACATTGCAGTTTCACTGTGGTTGGTTGTATAAATAAAGGCAAATTTTGGAGACCTTTTGGGCAATTCCGCGTATATTTATGCTAAAAGTAGACAATGCCGCGTATATTTAGGCGAAAAGTAGGCAAATTATCGACAAGGCGACAAAAGGCGAAATCCGCTTCATTTCCCCCGGACAGGCTAAAAAGGAGACATTATGTCGCGTTTTCCCCTTTCTTTTCCAAAGCATTTCCCCCTTTATTTCCCTATTTTTCGCCTTTATTTCCCCTTTATTGGTTGATTCGATTGGCGCATTCTGTGTTGTATCAAAGACTTGCCCTTCCCTTTGTGTATATTAAGACCTACTACTACTGAGGCTGCTGTGACACTGATAATCTTCTCTTGCGTTTGTTGTTGTGTGTGCGATAGAAGAACCGAATCATCTGCGAAGTATAGATCGTCCAGCTGCAACCTATCTGTCCACTGTATTCCATGCTGACGTCTTCATGACCAGACGATCGCCAGGAGAAAGAGAAAGGGTGATCTACCATTTATTTGTTTATCGAACGACACATATTTAACAGACACTATCAAACCAGGATCTACTTTTTGTAATTCATGTAATCTACTGAATGTAACTCTTCTAATTCTTTCCTTACGTTAGCTTGATGATGAAACATAGTGGTCTTTATCTTATTAACGCCATGGTTTACAACTAATTCATTATGAACAGTGAATAAGTTAAACTTATTTTCAAATATGATGGGTTCGGTATCTACAGAATCAACACAATTCAGATGTTTGTTTAGAGAATTAGCCGGCGTATAAGATAAAATTTCTGTTTTACCATCTAATATTGAATAGGAATTTACTCGTCTATTTGGTTTTATGTTAGAAGATAGAGTATGATATGATTTATCGCAATTGAACAAATAAATATTTCCCAGTTCTAGACTTTGATAAGATAATGGGGCAGTAATTGTTGATAATATAATAGTAAGATCCGATATCATATATGGATAGGCAGAAACAAGTGACTTGAATTAAACGTTTTTTCAGATTGCGATTATCATTTTCAAATCGTTTCTCATCGGTCAGTTGAAAATAAGTAAAACCATTCAATTGTTTACAATCAAACTGATCATGTTTATTGGTTATACATCGTTCTTGTATTGCTTTTATGTTATACATACTGATATTTTCTACATGTGGACAATTATTTGTTTTGTTTAGAAATGTTTGTGTTTCATAAATCTTGGATGCCGGCTGGCTCAGTGGCCTACAGGTTAAGCATTCGCACGCAAGCCCGATAAATCCTGTGTTCGAATCTCGCGAGACGGGATCGTGGATGCGCACTGTTGAGGAGTCCCACTATAGGACGAAACGGCCGTCCAGTTCTCCCAGGTTTTTAGTGGTGGTCTAACATCAATCAGTTCATGATCTCAATCAAAAAAACTTAACGATCTCCACAACACCATACTGATAAATACCATGTGCTCACTAGTGACTAGCCTCGTGAGGGAATTCTCGAAGTTCTAGTGAGAAGCCGTGACAAGTGGAGCTAATCCGTGTCGGATAGACAGGTATCTACCTCAGTAAAATGGAAGATGATTGCGCAATTTCGTGGATTGATTGAGGTTAGACATTAACACCGTTGGATGCTGGCCGGTTCATTGGTCTAGAGGTTATGCGTTGGTGCTTGAGACTGAAGGCCCTGTGTTTGAATCCCGCTTACGAGATTGTGGATGCGCACTTCTGAGGAGTCCCACAATAGAATGAAATGGCTGTCCAGTGCTTCTAGGTTTTCAATGGTGGTCTAACATCAATCAGTTCATGATCTTAATCAAAAACTTAATAATCTCCACGACCCTATAGTGATTTTATAAATCGGTCAATCACATAATCCCGATAGTTCGTCAATCATTATCGCTACGAAATTTGCCGAAATAAGTATACTTTCCTTACTTAGTCTTCTTTTATTTGTATGAGTGATTTCTGTAACAATACTAAAACCTTCTTTATACTTTCTTACTGAAAGTGATTTCGAATTTATTGACTGCTGTCTTGAAAGTTTAGATGATATATCTGTGTTTTGTTATATGATAATATTTAGTCCTAGAATTATTTTAGAATCCTTCTACTGGTTACAAAATGCTAAGGATTTTAATGACGCAACTGATCTACCCTGTAATTCTTTACTAACTGGACTAGATTCGGAATAAATGTTTCTTATTGATGAACATTGTAAAGTCACGGGATCAGTTCAATTTCTATAAGCAGAATTATTTAACATTTGTATGCTCTTTGCAATACCTTTTGTTATAAAACACAATTTTGATTATACGTATTTATACGACGACTCAATAATCTGACTTGAATCTACTGTATTGTATACTTTAAATGTTGACAGTATATTACTAGAAATAGAATGTAGAGAATTTTCATAACGTACATTTTCCAGACTAGTCACCTCCATTTGTTGAATAACTAAGATATTTGATGTTAAGACTTTATAAATCTGATTTTTACACATTTCGAATCCATCGAGAACTATTATTTGTGAACTGGATAAACTGTTGGAATTTAGTTGAAAATCATTACTTTTAACTTGTAAATTCATTTCGGACATTTTGCTCTGTAAACATACAAGGTTATTGAATAGTTGAATTCATGAGTCAATTGAAGCTAGACCACCAAAGAAAACCTGAGAGCACTGGACGGTCGTTTCGTCTCACTGTAGGACTCGTCAGCAGTGCGCATCCACGAACTCGCCTTGCGAGATTCAAGCCCAAGACCTATCAGTCTCGTGCACGAGCGCGTAACCACTAGACTACTGAACCGGCCATCATCCAACGGTGTTCATGTCTAACTTCAACCAATTTACATACAAGGTTATGCTTGTGTTTTATCAACTGAACATTAACTTTTGTTCTGGTGATACATTTTTTTAATTTATTACAATTAATGTCAGAAAAACTATCTACAAACATATTTCCGAAAGATTCATTCTCAATATTACTGACTAATTCACGATTAACATAGATATTGTTGATTCAGAGATAGAAGTTAGTAATTTCAGTAATTTAGAAAAATTAGTGCCTTTGATAAATGTCGATAATGCTATGGGAAGACGAAGTTTATCAGAACTAATGTGATGATATATTAGCGCAATACATTTCGAACAATTTGATCACACATTTATAATGTACTTGCTAAGAACATTTATATATGAAAATTAAAAGGTCAACTAGACAGATAAAAGGTAAGCCATAACAAAGAAAAAAGTAGCAATAAAGTGCGCAAAAACAATGTGATAACCACTCTGCATAATAAATCAGTATTACCAGGGTGGGTTAAGGCTAAGGACAAATTGTTTTTGAAAGAATAAAGAAGGTCTCAGTTTCCGTACAGCCAAGGGTTCAATAAACCTTAGTATAAGTCCTTGAAGGCTTTCGTATAACACTAAAAATGCTAATTAGCTGTCAACCTTATAACCAGTCTCAGCCGTAGTATGTATTTGGACATTCTCACAGTCTTTTGAACGTTGCATAAAGGTCGTCCATAAATTATAGTCTTACCAAAATTCCATATAAAAATCAATATAGAATACTTTGAATTTTCTATTGGTATTATATTCCCCTCGATCGTGTATGTTTGATGTTAAAACTTACTTATTTTATTTAAACATATAAACATTTGTAAAAGGAGGCACCACGGGATCGGTATCCAGTGGATTTGCACCAATGTCATTTAAAAGTGGTGGTAAGGATTATTTTATTTATTTATTTTAACACATAGGTATTGGTACAAGGAGGCACCAAATACATATGCGCCACAACCTGACTAGATTTAGAAACGTAAACCACTGAGATTCCGACTCAGTGATCTAGAGATTAAACGCTCCCCCAGAGATTGGAAAATCCTAGATTCGATGCCTGATAGGAATGTGGATTCTAATTCTAGGACGAAGCAGCAATCTATTCAATGCTACCTGATTTTCGTTGGTAGTCTAACTAACGTTAGTTTGTGATGGAAAATAAGCGATTTAGTTTTCATAGCATATTTCGACTGAAACCGAAACAGAATCCTCTCAATGTATGAAATTATTATTATTACTGAAACACATAAACATTGGTGCAAGAAGGCACGAAATAGATATGCGCCACATAAATAATCCGATTTGTATGAGCGCTGGGATACTGAATGGGTGACCAAACCGAAACAGGCAGTTTTCTTAGGAGGCCACACCCCGAAACCTTTGACCTGGAGGTCTAATCGACAAGGTAATAGAACAACGTCAGAAGATACAGTCCCATGGTAGCCAGTGATCACAAATTGGTTATACGCCATTTGTTCCCTCAGGATGTTGCGGCGCATGTGCAGCGTTGATTTAGAATCAGGGTTTGCCAACTCCCCTAGGTGGACCCTCTGTATCCACCAACCCGGTTAAAGCGTCGAACATTCACTTTTTATCCTCTCAATGGAGCTAGATTGTTGAGAGAGAGAGAGAGAGAAAGGACTCTCCGCACTTACGGCTGTACCAAGGCATTTGAATGCAATAACAAGTACCAAAGTTTTTCACACAAACAATAACAAATTCATTTATCGTCTAACACAAATCAATTTCATAACCCCTAAAACGTTTAGAAGTAGTTAAAAATGAAAACACAATGATTATCATTATTATTTTCATGCCAATATCGTAAAACAAATCCGTTTAAAGAGAATTTCAGTCACATAGATATATATATGTCAAAGAAAAATAGCTTTTTTGTTAAAATATTTGGCATGAATAAAACAATAACTATCTCATCAAAAAGTGCTGGAAAGAAATAATTTCAACGAGTAAGCATATCCGTAACCATGATATTGATTATGTGGGAAGGACTTATAAAATCATCTAAAAAGGTTAATGCGATGATCCATTACATTAGAAAACATATAATATATTTTACAATAAAAATGATTAAACTAAAAACAGAAGTTGGATTAGATCAGTTAAGTATATTCTGAGTGGTTTGTATATGATAGGTATAAGTGATTCAACTGATGTGTAAAATAATTGATATCATTGCCAAAATTACACATACAACAAGAATGAATGGAAACCATGATGAAAAACAATGACGTTTACTATAAGAAAAAAAACGGGGAAATTTTATCATAACTGTTTAATGAATAATAGGAAGAAAAATTCATTCGTTAGATTAAGCATTTTAATACATTTTTCTTTACAAAATGGGATTGCCGGGTAAGTATTAGTGAGGTTAGACGTAGAGTATTATAGAATTATGGTAAATCGGTTGATGAGGTTGTAAATCTTCATCGACTGAGATGGTTGGACCATGTATTACGTATGCCTGAACATCGACTACCACAGCGTGCAATTTTGAATAGTGTTGTAGACGGTTGGAAGAAAGTCAGGGGCGGCCAAACCAAGACGGGGCATGAGTGCTTGAAGTCACTAACTTCTGGTCTGAACCATGTTGGTAGATGCACACTACCTGGTTGGGGTCCGCGTGACTATCGTAACCAATGGTTGGAGACTCTTGGTGACATGGCTCAGAATCGATCACAATGGTGTAGGTGTATACACACTCTGTCTTCCTTTAAACTAAGAGATTAAAATCGTTTCATATCTTTCTTTCTACGTACTAAATCTTTCTTCCTGTACTATGTTTTTATATGCAATCTTTCTTTTATATATTACCACCACTGAATTAACTACTCCTATGAATCCGATGTTCATCTTGTTTTGCTACTTGGCAACTTGGACCTATGAATATATGTGCCTGATCCTACTTTGTAGCTGACTGACTGACTCAGTAACGCTGCCCAGATATGTAAAGTTTTCCGCACCTTCCAAAGCTTCCCCGCCAAAAATATAATATTATCTTATATATTTTTAGATGAAATTCCTTTAAAAAATATCCCGAATAAATTGCAACACTTCAAATTAATAAAATACTCTGCATTAGTCTATATAATCATGTAAACCAATGATAAAGTAAATGAAAACATTTTTTTCTTATTCTGAAAAAAATAAGCTTACCTAACATACTTTCCATGAAAGAATAATAATGCAGTAACACTGAACATATTCCAATTCTCCTTATCTTTAAATCGCATTTTGTTGAAAGCATATGCCACATGACTATGGCAATTATCACAAAAAAGGTTATGCTAAAGGAAATAAGAATACTGAATTTTGTAAGAAAAACATTGGATATTGGAGGCTCCACTAAACTATAATTTATAAGTCTTCCATATATGACACTAGAAAGATTAGATCATAATGAGAATAATCTACTGACTTTTAGAAAAATATATCCATGCAACGAATAAAGTATTTGGAAACCAGGATACGAAATATCTGATCTTCTGTGTATTCACATATGATTAATGTTGTTGTAACTCATTACTCAAATAAAGGTTTATGTATTTGACTCCTAACAGTATTTTAGGCAAAATAATCAATATCCTTTAGTATAGTTTTGAAGTAAGTATTATGTTATATTCACATGTGGAAGGCTCGGTTTTGATTCCCGACCGAGGAGTCGGCTTTAGCCCCCGAATGCTCTGGTACGGCCGAGGGTGGGGTGAGTTCGATCTCCCTCTCAAAATGCTCTCACATGACAACGAGTATACAGCCACTGTCAAAAAAGTTCTACTAACTGCCTTCTCGCGTCGGGAGTATTGTTTACGGAATTGAGAGGATGAAAAGCGAATATCCAACGCTTTAACCGGGTTGGTAGATACGGAAGATTTACATAGGAGAGTTAGAAAACTCTCATTCCAAACCAATCGTGTACATGGACTCCGGGACCCTGAGGGATCAAACGGCGTATATCCAGTTATTGATCACCGGTTACCATGGGAATGTATCTCTTGACGTTGTTCCAATGCCTTATTGATCAGACCTTCAAGTCGAAGGCTCCGAGTGTGGCTTCCTAAAAAAACCATCTGCATTAGTTTGGTCACCCGGGCAGTATCACAGCACATAGACGTATCAAGTGACTTGTGTGGCGCACAAGTACCAATGTGTTCAAATAAATAATAATTGTTGTTGTTCAGAACGTCATTTAACTCAACATTTGTCATTAAGTCTTTGCGTGAATTCCTCGATACTACCTGTGTAGTGCATATGTGTTCGCAGCACCTTGTACCAATATTTGTGTATTCAAATAAACAAATATTCACACACTTAAGCTTTGAGAAACATAACTCAGTACAAGAAGATAAAATCTGAGCTATTTAAGACCTTTTAACCGCATCTGAGCGCTTCAACCTCATAAAGCAACAAGTTAGACGTATAAAAGTAATTTTTTCACAACTCGACAACCCAGTATATGTTCTTTTAGGTCAGGCGTTTGTGTGAAAGCCAGAGATACCATTCGAAAAATGAACTGGCACCAAAACTTGAAACTCGACTGCTGAAAACCGTGTGCTCAGACCTCTAAGCTATACCTTAGTAACTTAATACGATACACTATAGCTAGACGTTTTTAGAAAAATCATAACAACATACCACTCGTCCTTTATAAACTTCATTCGCTTCAGAGATGGCATTGTCCCAGATTTCTCTACTCCCTATCAGTCTAGCATGGGGTTGATAATACCTAAGGAAATTATAGATCAGGCTATGTTGTTGTTAAACATACATTGTTGGCCATCCAAAAGCCATTTGGTCCTCCTATAGAGAAGTGTTAAAGTTATTACGACAGGGAACTGAAATTTACCCCAATAGTATAAGGGGCTGCAAAATCATATATAACACCATATGAATTAGCGATCCCCATATGTCCAATAACAGGAAAAAACCATCTTCAATTAGTAGTGATTTTAGTACATATAACAGCATACGTTAACAAGGGAATAGGAGTCCATACAATAGAATATGGGAACCGATGAAGTAAAGGAGTAACTGAGTCTATCCTGTTTTCCATATTATAATATCCAGTACCATGGAATTCAGGAGAGGAATCTAAGCTGTTTTTCTCTACCTTGAAAAGTAAAAAGGATGAAAATGAGTACATATGATGTGAAAATTAAGAAATAAGCATAGGTGTATATAGAAATTAAAGGAGAATGAATTTTGTGTAGTATCAATTAATTAGTACACATGCTATATGGAGTGGAGATTTGTCTGCTATACGGCAAGCGATAGAACGTTACAGCAACTATTACCTTGACATTTGTAAATCCAGACTATTCATGGAGTAGAATAGATAACCAACCGTGCGATTAAATAGTACAGCCGTAGGTATGGTATGTGCTTTGCACCCTCGAAGTGCAAAGTACTTCTACAAGACTGGCAGGATTCTAATCCTGTACTCACTCTGGATGGTGAGCAGATAGAAGTAGTCGAGAAGTTCGTCTATCTAGGTAGCTGCATAAGTGCTGGTGGTGGTGTGAGTGATGAGATCAATGCACGTATAGTGAAAGCCAGAGCGGCTTATGCCAATCTGGGCCATCTTTGGCGCCGTCGTGATGTTAATTTGGCTATAAAAGGTCGGATCTACAACGCGTCGGTGAGAGCAGTTTTGCTCTATGCTTGTGAAACCTGGCCTCTCCGAGCTGAGGATGTTAGACGACTCTCTGTGTCCGATCATCGCTGTCTCCGAAGGATTGCTGACATTCAGTGGCAACACCATGTTAGTAATGCAGAGGTTCGGCATCGTGTGTTCGGTCACAGAGACGATAATTCCATTGGTGTCACCATCTTGAAACACCAATTTTGGTGACTTGGACATGTTCTACGAATGTCGTCCCAGAGAATTCCTCGTCGTGCATTATTTGCCGACTCTGGGACTGGTTGGGAAAAGCGGAGGTGGTCAGTATATGACATGGTGTCGTGGTATGAAAGAAGGCTAGCTTCTGTTGGTCCTTCACGACTCCCTGGCTGGGGTCCGACAGATGGTGTAACACAGTGGCTAGAAACGTTATCAGATATGGCTCAGAATAGAAGCCAGTGGCGATCCTGCTGTAACCTTCTATTACTTTCTTCATAAAAAGTGGTTGCTCCTCCCTTAACTGAAAGATTTCTTCTGATTGTATTGTCCCGTTTCCCCCATTATTGTTCTCTTTTTTTCATAACTCCACACGTTCATTACTTTTTTCTCTCTAAATTCTCATTGTTTTGTGTGGCGCATGTATATTTGGTGCCCCTTGTACCAATATTTATGTGTTCAAATAAATAAATAATAAATAAATAAATAAAATAGTACAGTGTATGACAATCAGTCCCCCTTAAAAAGTGCTGCAATTTAGTGCGGGAACTAGAAGGTTAGGGTCTCGTGATAGCATTATTCAGACTGACCATCGAGTAGATGACAAGTTAATCAATAATATTGTAGTCATGTACTGATGAAGAATACAGAATTTATCATGGACGATAGACTGATATCTACCAGTGAAAATGACTTTAACATGGTTTAAACAACAAAAGACAATGTTCAAACTGCCAGATTATTATTCTCGATTCAGCAAAGGGTCTGTAAATCAGAATACTGACCAACGCAGTAATGAACACTGAAACACTCAGGTAAGATAGTGTCAAGCCAGACTGCTACGCATTTTGAATGTTAGTTGAAAGGGTAAATGATGGAACCATGGTCTCCCAACAAGCGAACCAAACCCAAGGCAATGGCCTTTCGTATTTCGCAAGACATTCAAAAGCACGATGATAAACAGCTTATACTCAATTCAGAGTTTAATACTAAAAAACATCTGTTGTGCAACCAAAGAGTAGCTCTAAAACGGGTTGAAGAGTGAGTTACAAGCAAGAAATGCTTCTCACAGCATCAGCAAAGGCAATTACATCTTAACAATGTTAATTGTGGTTAGAACCCATTATAATGGGGACGAATGCAGGTTACACAATTACTAGCTAATGAGATGACCGACAGACGAACATACAAGATTTAAGATATCAGGTCTTGAATTTCGATGCAGAACTTATTTAACCAAATGGCTGGATGGCATTTTGTGATGACAATCCCAATTCTAATTTTTAGCGCTAAAATACAGCATTAGATAAAAACCTTAGTTCCTCACACTAATGTAAATCCTTTACTAACCTCAATGAGCAAGTGAACACTTAAGGTCACACAAACCTCTCCAAAAGGGCATCTATAGCTTATCTCACATAAAAAATGGCAGCAACGAAATCTAAAACAATTAACAGCAGTACACACAACAACCTGAACTTTTCGATAAAATAAATCACTAATGATCTTTATTTTTTAAACAAACATGATGATCATCATGTTTCTAAGACTCGAGTCTTAGAAAGTAGCCGGATACCTCACTGAATACCATGGTAATTACCATGGGGAAAATCCCCATCGTTTGGGGAAATTTGGGGGTTCTTTGTGCCATTTCCCCAAAATTTACTATAGCGGCTTCCCCAAAATTGGGAGATTGAAAAAACTTAACTGATTCCAATCAACATTTGATCAATTGTACTGATTGGTAAAGTTACACCGGAAAAATTGATGGAAAGCAATGGATTATAACCAATGTTGCTTCATATATGGAATTAGGGAAACGTCCTTTTTCAAGGAGTAAAATTTGATACTAACAGTATGCAACGCACACCTTCATATTCCGGACTAAACACAGTGTATTCAATATCCAATATCTTAGTTGCGAATTAGTATTATTCAATTGATTACTTTGAGTTCTCTTCCTGTTCTGTCAGTAATATTCGATTTATTTTGTTATGTTTGGCTGTTGATAGTCTAAACACTACACTGAACTAATTCTAGTCACTGGCAGTTTTTTGTGGCTTTGTATAACTTGTAAACAAACTTATTGCGTTTGTCTCAGGATAGTAAGGGTTGTGGATTCCATAAATCATAGCATTACGAAGCAAGCAGTTCATTGGTGGGGTGGTAAATCAAGTGTTAAGAAAGACGACTGTTCCAAGAATTAATAATAATTTACTTCATCGTTAGCGTATAAGAAGATGGAACTGAAGGAATAAGAGGGGCGACAAGGATGACAGCACGAGAGATAGGAATTAGTTGCTGATATGTGGTAATATAAACTGTGATGAATCACAAGACATGCATCAAATACAGCTGTTTGAAGAGGGAGATGGTAATCCATAGGTGAGCGCGTGTTTGTCAAATCTCCTCTTAAAGCTATACACTGAAAGTTGCATGGTCACTTTGGCTGGAAAATCATCTCAAACGAAGCCAACTCTCAATGAGCAAGAGCAAGAGCTTACTAGAAGGTTTACGTACTCTGGGGTACGTTGTACTGGTTAGCATTCCGAATGACCTCCGTCACAATCTCCCAATGGACAAACACCATTTGTCTCCACCAATCTCATGGCCACGAGGTGTATTTGAAATAATCTTTCCTCATTGCGTAGACTGCTCTAGTGCAGATAACGTAGATGATATTTTCATCTCCTAGTTTACCACCTAGTCGTCTTTCACGACATTTGACGTAATTGAAGAGGTCATTTATCGGGCTACATCTGTATTGAATATCACCTACTAGCTCATGCGCTCCATGAATCATCATGCTGACTGGTTCTCTAGTGTTCGCTGATCTTCTAGCGACATTTCTTCCGGAACACGGTTTGTCGTATCTAACTCAAATTTGGAATGATCAGTTGGCCGATGGTCTCTGTGATATGATTACATTTTCTTCATTAAAGTGTGGCGAATCCAGAATAATTCATTATGGGGGAGAATTACCTTCGGCAACGTTTAGGCCTTTATGTAGGTGTCACTGTCTCATCAAAGTGGTACCCATTTCAAGCATTTATCAGTAGTTGTATCATCGCACATTACTGATGGCTGCCCTACTTTCTGGTAGGCTATCGTATGACAATGAGTCACTAAATAAAAACAGGTAGTTTTTTTAACGTTTTCGTTCATGATGTTTAGTGATTTGGGAGCTATGACCAGTACATTGTCCTCCCGAAGGCTCAGTCACTTTTCCTCACTTTTAACAGACATTGAAGTATTAACAACAGCCAGTAATTTAATTGGCACACAAGTCGTAGTTCCCATAGTCGCGTTCTTAGTTAAGCTTGTTTTTAACGATCTGTATATACCGGTGGGGACTGATACAGTTGCTGCCAATAGGATCTTATGTTTCTCTACTGTTGGTTCCGTTGGCGCTTTTTTTCCACATTCTTGGCAAACGTGTCAGAGCCACAAGTAGGGGTGAGATACCTTAGACCTATTGTCCTGCTTGGGCGTTGATGTATCGCAGCAACAGTCGAGCGAAGTACTAAAAAAATTACATTGTGTCGTCGGTTCTGACGACCAATGATCATGAGATAGGATTATCCTACTGGTGTTTCTTCTGCCCAGTAGTGAGCGCCAAAAATAGTTAATGGTGCCCTTTTTCTCAAATTTCTATTCTGGGAGTGTGGTCCTGATTGTTTAGTTACAGATTCAGTTTCAGTGTTTGAGCTAACTGGTTCACAATGTACACGTTACTCCGAGGTTCGGTGTCTGGTGTCGCCTTGAGCCTTGTTATAATCCTGAAGTAGTATTATATAATTCAGAATACGTCGAAAGACATATGTCCATGTGCATCGTATGTTTCTTGCCTATCCTCCAGCTGGAGAAAACCTCTGTTTTGCACTTTTAACGGCAGATCTATGATGAACAGTTGGTGGGTATGTATATTTGATATTTTCGTGACTCAGAAGTTTTTGTCCATTTATCCAGTAGTATTATTGCATTAAAAACCTCTAAGAGTATTTCTACCTACCTAAACGACATGCAATTCTTTTTCCGAGGTTCTTGACATGGGATGATTTCGGAAATGTCTAAAAGTCTCCCAGCATTTAAGAGAGGCATAATTCTGATATTTTCAGATGACACGTACCCATGACGTGCACGTAATGAGTAATCAATCATTTTCCCGTGATATATCTTAGTAACGATACTATGCAGATGTCAAATGTAGGACAACAGAGTTGTATAGGTAATTTTTGCTACCATTAGTATACGCCAACTTTACTTATATTGATACTTGGACAACTATCAGGGAAGCCAAATTACATCATGTACATATCTCACAATGATATGTGAACGGATGTACTCTTTGCATTCTCAGTGTTCTAATAGCATATGAAATAATCAACAATTACTTCCTTTCATATTCTTAGCTACATGGGAAGTTAGACCGGTATTACTAACCAGCATGGATGCTCATGACAGGTTTATGCGTTGCCATATGTTGCAAGCTAACAGTGTATACCGAAGCTATCCGGAGAAATCGGTCATGTTCGTGGTATTAAGATCACCATTATTTGGATAACCTTGTCCTCTGGGAATATATATGTAGTACGTCTGTTCCGTGTGACGCTCGTTTGATTACCATTTAGATTGTTAATGCGTGGGATAATGATTTATTGACCCCTTCATTGGACGCTGAATACATAACATTAACTTAAAGGATTATTAATTCATAAGAAAAGTAGTGCATTCTTTCGGAAATAAAAGTCATGTTGCTAATAAATGAACGTCGATTTACAATGCTCTGCTTAACGACTTTTAAGCAAATGGGACAGATGCAGTTGCGTTCGTATATTGAGCTTTCCGGAGGAGATAACTTATGATTTCAAACAATTTCTTTACATACGGTGAAAACTGGTATAAAATTTTTTGGCTAGGAGTAAGCGCTGATATTAAAGAACTTAAAATTATATATATATATATATATATATATATATAATGTGGGTATGTTGAATGAGCACAGCTGTTTACTCATTTCCATGTGTAAATCTCAATGGGCATATCGATGTTGAATGTATTACTACAAATCAATTTGTCGTTTCCATTGTGGCATAATTGCAGATGATTCTAAGCGTAAGTGTCGATTTAATCAAATTGAAAAGGGATATATTTATGACATTATTCAGATACTACTATTATCTCAGTTCATTTTTATTCGCTCAGTGGTACTATATCTTGGTCTTTTATTACTGCCGAAAACGCTGGTTAATTCAAGCACACAAATATACATTCCCGAACATTGATATTCTGGTTTTCACCTAATTCATTATTCCAAGTCATACAGTATAAAGACAACAAACACAATATACATCCTTCTTTGAAGTGGCTATTAACACGTAGCTTGTGTAAGAGTTCCACGTGGAACAAAGGAAACAATGCTTAGAGGACAAAAAGTGTGAACTACAAATCACAGTTTATTCAAGTTATCGACGTATTGCTATCTTGTCAGCATTTGTTGCAACAAACGCTGTGCATATCATCATCGTCATGGTTAGAAGACTGATATGTTATAAATGAGATTCCGTGTCAAAATATGAAAACATACATACGCACTTTTCAGGAGTAATTAATGTTCTCATATTTCTTTCATGTGGTTCCATATAAGGTATAAATAATAGCCAGTTCAGGCATCGACACAATCTAAGGAAGCATTTGTGGGCTTTCAAAGATCATCACCAATGACCTCCGGCAATTGCATCACGTTAAATATTACAAACAAATATTACAACTTATAAGGTGATCATATTATCTCCCTCCCACACATAATCCTGTTTTACGCATATACTAAGGCAAGGAGACTCGGCAAGTGGATTAGAGGCGGAACCCAAAGAAGGAAAATCTTAAGATAGTCCTCGGAAGTAACGAGGAAAGAGATATTAAAATAACCGTTGCATAAAAAAATTCGTAGCTCAAATATCCGGCCACACTTGTGATTGAATGATCAAACTACGTGGAAAGATGCTATAACTGAGGTGAACGAAATTAATGAAGCGAACCCTATGTTTCATGGTTCTTCAGGTAATCAAGCCTTGGCAGCCCAAGCTTTTGAGACCTGTACGGATAGAACAAGTGATTCCCGAAACGCATCAAGTATGTGCTACACAAACCCCTTTAGTATTTGAAACGAAACGTCCGGGCTAATCTTGGTAGTAAAAGAGTGAAGTCCAACTACGACTGTTATCATAGAAGCGTAGATAATTGGGAACGAGGAAGATTCTCCAGCTGTTGCAGAATAAATTTTTACGAAAAGTGATAAGCCTATAAAACCTAGGATTGGATGTGTGGCGTTATGTTAGGGATCACTTTCGTGCACAGCCCCATATATCAGGAGCATATAGTAGTAGAACATGGGAAGCGGCTGGTAAGAAAATAGAATCTAGTTATGGATAAGAGACAATAGAAAGAATATACTGTAGTCCCTGTTGTCTTGCTGACGACTTTGCCCTAGTTCATATCTCCGTGAGGAATAAGGGTAATTATTGTTTAGTCTTTAGGGATTTCAATGCGCCACATACCAATTGGATAGAGCTTACGACATTGGGTGGATGTTTTGATGGCACCCTACTAACAAATGTTGTTTAGTGAGCACTTGTACAATGTATTACAAAGCCGAACATACATCGAATTGAAACAAAAACCGATATTGTTAGACCTTGTCTTTACACACGACTTTGATGTTATTGACACTCAACACCTACTTTGGTGGATGAACAGTGATCACGTATTGTACTTTAGGTTTCGGACAAACATTGTACTGTATGTATTTGTTCCACCCTGTTCTAGTATCTAGAGGTCTAACATTTCGGCAATCGGAGACTGGCATATCTCAACCTCCATCACTACTATACAAGAATTCGGATATGGCCAAAGCTGAAATTCCATCAAACTGACTCAGCAACATTTGCTCGGCAGATATTGCTATCAATACTTTCCATAACCACACCACAAAGATACCAAATACAGGACTGAGGAGGCTGTTCTTTACCTACTTATTAATCTGACATCTGTTAATTCGCCGGGTCCCGATGGGTTATCAGTTTACTGTCAATGGTACGTCGTTCCCACGTGTGCAGAAACAGAGAGATTAGGGAGCAATGATGACTCATAACTTCGAAAGGACTAAATATTTAAATTTTACAACCTCAAAGGGTTTCTGGGTCTTATAGCCAAGCCACTGAGTATCCACATGCTTTCTCGATGATATGTTTCAAGTTCTACACCCCACTCACGTGAGACCTCGGATCATTACGTCCAGGAGGTTAGCCCATACCTTAATAAGGAAACTAAGCCACTTAAGATAAGCTTTTTTGTGCAAACTAAGTCATTTATGGAACCCTTTAAACTTTCCCACGATGAGCTCTTAAAACTCAAAGACTGTCCTTATTATCATGGAACGCGTGGTGATCGTGGGTTAGCATTTCATATATTACATGATTAAGTTGTTGAAATATTTCATACCTTTACTTCCCCACAACTAATAGCTCCAAGACCACAACTCAAGTGTTCGAAATCACTCTCAAATAGACTCAGATTGGGATTCTGTTTTTTTTCGCATCTGACGATCATTTTCTGAAACGCACTACCCAAGCAAGTGGTATCAGCCCCATCAGTAAACGCTTTTGAAGAGAAGTTGTAAACTCATTAGAAAACAACCCACGGTGACCAATACAAGTCAATCAACCAATTATCTTCATTACTGAAAACTGAAGGTGTGGCGCTATTTCAGACAATATTCGTCACGTGCTTCTTAACCTGTATCGTTAAACGCCCTTTCATAGTTGTAATCGTTCTTCATATATTTAACTCGTAGGCGCTGTTTGCCATACAACTGAACAACATTCTTTACTGATAGTAATGAAGTGATGGTAAGGCTAAATAACCACTAAATCTATCGTTAGTCGACACCTGTTCTATTAGGATTGGGTATGATAGCCGTAGGAGTTGCTGGACGTTATATAACACGGAATACGAATATTGGTAGTATACAAAAACTTTTCAGCATATCTGGACTGGTAAGTGCTTTTTTGTTTGTTCTCATTGTGCCAGAATATGATTGTGGTGTACTGTGTAATATATAACAATCATATGATTGTTATGAAAGTTGTTTCTTATGTTTCACTAAATATGTTGCATGGTGAGTCTAAAGTTATCGCAGATAAACATCTTTAGGTTAATTTTTAGTCAGTTAGGCAATCTGTAGATGTTTGGGATTTTAATCTACTATAATAGTGGTAGGCAGTCTACTACGTTTCGCATTAAAATCTGATATTCACTAATATTTCTTTACTATTACTTTGGCAGAGGTGTTTGGTACACTCACCGTAGTTTTAGAGAAATCAATCAGAAAATGTTGAAACCATCGATTCTGTCAAAAATAGTTTTTGACGTTTCACTGTTATATTTCAGTTTACATTTATAGGTTCATTTAATAGCGCGAGCGGATATTCATTCTTGACTTAACCCACAGAATTCTATCTTAACTATCTAGCCATATTTTTCAGCTACTTTCTGTTCTGAATGCTGGTTGATTTACCGGTCGTGAAATTAAAAAGCCTGTTTGGTCCCCATGATCTATTGATGTTGCTCACTAAAACTATTTTTTACTTGCTTAAGACCCCGAATTTATAAACAACTACAAACTAGTAATGTAAATAAACACATCCAATTCTGACTTTACTTCGTTTTCAGAATGGCTCCAAGTATTATCGTGGGGGGTTTGAACAAAATATGTCCCGGCGTGAAGCTGCCCTAATCCTTGGGGTGAGGTAAGTTTGGATTTGTTAGTGCTAATCAAGACTAGGTTCATCAATCCCCGTTTAGTCAGCGGGTTATTTTTTCCTGTTGATTAGCTGACCGTTATTCTCTCTTACTACTTAGGATAGTCGACAGCCGACAAATGCGTCAGTCAATTCTTTTGAAATTATAAACGCCCTAGTTTTGTCATTATAATTCTTCTATAAAACAACAGACTAAGCTAATATATTATCATTATATCCCAATGAGTAAAAAAATGTATTCCTGACGTTTCGTGACTTAACGTAAGCCACTTCTTTATAGTAAATAAATCTAATGTGTAGTTGAAAACGGGACGGACTAATCGGTCACCGAACAAACGGGTTTTACTGTTTGGCTCTAGTTTTCAGTAGTGAGGATAGGAGGTCAACCGGATTATAATAAACCTTGCAATTTTTAGTGCTGTAAAGACTCAGTCTCTGCGGAATCCTAGTTATTCACTACTCGGTGAATAAAACAGAACCTCAGATGTGAATGATTTAATCTCGGTTTTTGAACTCCTAAAATGTCCTCACATCATCAGTCCAAAGTGGAAGGAAAAGATAAGACATACACTAAGATCGTCGTTTAGTGTACGATAAACCAGTTTCAGATTACCCCGTAACTTGCGATAAGAGAACGGAAATAGGTTTAGGCGTCTTAGTCTCTTCGTAAGACAGAGAGACCCTTTATCATCTTGGTCCCTCACCGTTGAACGCGTTCTAGCATATCCAGCTCATACTAAAAAAAATGGACTTGCTGCTTCGCTCCCATGTTTTAAATGCGACCTCACAAAAGTCATGTATAATATCATGAACATTTCTTCTACGAACTAATGGAATAACTTGCGAATAACCCATAAAACCATGAATTCTTTGGCAGTAACAGCTTTACAGTTACTCGTAGTTCTTAGGTGGTTGCTTATTATGACTCTCAGTCCATTACTTCAGGTAACAATTTCACTTATCGTATAGTGATATGAATCGTCGCATTTATATATTTTCATCACTATACTCTTGTTAGAATTACCTTCTAATCACTACCTACACATCAATTCAGTCAGTTAATTTGGATCATCCTGTAATATTACCTTGTCTGATAAACTGTATGTGGGTCTCCAAACCTTTGTCATCTGCAAAGAGAAGTTGCTTCAGTTAGTGACTCATTTAAATAAGGCTGAAAAAGAAAAGAGCCGAGGGCTGCACGTTTAGCGGATTCCCATGTTAGTGAACCCTCGTTTACCTGTACTTGTTGCCTCCTATCACTGAGAAATTTAATTATCCAGCTCGTGGTTTCATAATGGATCCAAAACCCAGGTAGAAGACCTTATCAAGGCTTTACTTAGTTCTATGAAAATTACTTCTGAAATATTTCTGTCTTTTGCTTTGTGCCAATCTTCTCTTGTAGTGAGATTTTTCAAGCATGATAAGCCTTTCCTAAAACCATGTTGTTTCGTGTCTAAAAGATTATTCACTTCCAGAGAGTTTGAAACAGCCATCCGAATAATCTCCATTAGTTTAACAACTACGCTGGTTAATCTAAGTCTCTACACCCCGCTCTATAGGCCGGGTTAATAACTGCGTCTTTCCAGTATCTTGGCAGCTTAAGCAGTATTGCCGGAGGTTCAGCAATTACATCTGCCAGGGCTTTTATAATTGTGTTAAATATCATCAGAGTCATTGGACTTATCTGGTTTGAGGTTTTGAAAAGCATCTCCTCAATAGCCGGAGGATTTATCAATAAACATCTATAATTACAATTAATTGTTGGTCTTTCACCATCGTCGGTAGAAAACACTACTAAAGTGGTCTAGTAAAGCTTCAGCTTCTGCTACATCATCTATTGGCAATACCAACTTATTTTATTGTACCAAAAATAGTGGGATTCAATCACTTCTCTCAGTTCGCTTCCTTATGTGCAAGAACAACTGTTAACTAGTTTAGATTTAAAACCCAGTTTCTCCTTAAATATTCTCACTTCGATTGTATGTAATGTAGATGATACAGATTATTTGGGTGACCAATTCCGAACTATTTTAGTATGGTAATTTTTTAATGTGTTGATTTTAATTTATAGTAAAGATCGATTATCCCTTTTGTTTGTAAATTGATGGTGCCACATCACTAACGCCAAAAATGTTTTGTCAATATTATAATTGCAAAGACTTAAAACTTGATATTTGTCTTCTAAAAGTCTTCAAAAAAAATTTAGAATCATTTTTATTTACAAAGAACTCAGCATATGTTAATCTATATGTCTACTAAGCATTTTTACGCTCTTATCCTAACTTACTCCTGATTGTAGCCTTAAATACTAACACCAATCTTTTCGGGGATATTTGTGTAATAAACTTTTCATCTCTACCACCATTTTTTCACTAAGAATTGGCTTTGCTTTCATAAGAGTTGCTGAAACCATTTTTAAGGTATGCTTTCAACATATTCAACTAGACTATCTAAAAATCTAATTACTTGCCCTTTATCTCTTAACCAATACTGATTATTCATAAGTTTAAGCATTGAAGGGTGTGCATTTATTTCCTAAAGAAGTATTTATTTTTTTTTATTTTAGTCAACAGTCAAGTAGAAATAAAATTAGGGATGCTCATAAGAGGATCATGCTTCTTAACCATCCCGATAAAGGTGAGTTCAAAATAAAATTATCACTAATTTTCTAATTTATGTCAATTTCTGCATCAATATTATAACCAACTAAAACCTTATCCATATTATTATTATTCGCTTTTGGTTATTTATGATCTGTTAGGAGCATGGGACATGTTGAAGACTTGATAATCTATATTCTGTCGTGAAAGCCTGTGTTTGTTTTCTGTAGCTCACTAGATAATTGAATAAAAGTTGTATATGCTACGACTAGTTATCAGATTTCGCTCATTGTTTTTGTATTAAGATTGTAAATTATCTACATATTGCTCACCCTCGTAGATTTCTTCATGGGCTCAATCTGGGCTTCTTAATTGAATTTCTCAGAAATATAGAGGCCGGTGAATCAAAACAATTTAATTTCTCATAATCATGTAGTATTTCAGATGTTCTCATTTATTCTCATAAATATTCGGGTTTGTTATTCTACACAACTGCACCTCATTCTTTGGTTTCACTCTCGTGGTTTTATTTTCGTGCTTTTTTATTGTTAATTTTCTTTGCTATGTTAAGAAATTATGTTACTTAAACTGTTGAACTACTTCATCAGACAGGAATATCCAGCCCATAAGTGTCTAATATTTGAGAAAATAAAAGTTTCCACTTCAGTAATGTTACTTAGTGACCTATGCAAAGGATCGCAGTTCCCCTGATGTCAGTGACTAATTCATAATCTTACATATCGCATCCATTGATTACATTAGTATGCTGTGCTAGCTGGGATAGGAGTAAATTGGATATCAACTATGAAAGGGTAACCCGGAACATGATCATTATTTGCCTTGTTTAATTGTATCAGAAAGTGTAAACTTCCTGACTGAAATCCATGTAATAATTATAATATTCAGTGTACTATTGCAAGTTATTCACAATTTAGTTTACCAAATTCATTAAGAAGGATTTGTTCATATATTTGCGTACTTCTACCCTAGTATTTACACTTCAATGTACACTTGAGACTTTTGTCAACAGAGCAATCCAACAGTTATTTTGTCTATATATATTCCATCGGCTTCTTGAAAAGGATAAAACAAAAGCTTGCCACTCAAGCCCTACCACTTTTCCAGCTTCTGTCGGTTCACAACAACAAGGATCGAAATGGAGTTTCTTGTTAATAAATATTTTGCGTAGAATAATTTCATAACAGAAGAAGCGACTAACTTATAATGAAATAAAACTATTAACTATATATGAAAGGTGTATTCGTAAAAAAGTTACTGTCCAACTCTAAAAAATGATTTATCTGACAAACAACAAAGGTGTACTTTTAACCATCACTTCATAAATTGTCTTCAGGTTCATGCCCGCCAGTTTTCGGTAGTTATTTATCTTTTTTTATACAAATATTTTACACAACGTATAATCTTTTAATTTGCTTGAGTGTAATATGTTTATCGTATATTTAATTTAGGCGGTTCCCCATACTTGGCTGCCAAGATCAATCAGGCCAAAGATGTACTAGAATCCAACAAAAGTTGACCACAACTAACGCCCCAGCTGTAATATATCGCCCATTATTTTACAATGTAAAATACAGTTTACTTTTCAATTGTTGAGCTGTAGACGTATAGTTACAAAAATGTAAATTGTTAGATACTTATCTTTTGAATAAACGTTCTTTCTCAATTATATTAATTTTGACGTCATTCTTTTCAAACTACACATGCAACTCAATGCAATCATGCTACGAATTTTTAATGAATTCCTAAGTAATATTCCATGTTATGTAATATCAAAAGAAGAAATCTTGTATAACAGTGAACGTTTGTAGGTTGCTGTGCTATTCGCCGGGATTCTTGAGCAAAACACAGTTTGTTAGTTTACTGATTTTAGAAATATCAACGATTAAAATCATGGTTTGTTTTGTAAGTGATGAAACAGTAAAAATAGAAACGGATACTTATGTGGTCCTGGAGTTTGTTCGAATATTTATTACAGTAGAAATTCTATTCTCGGAACCAACTGTGGATCTTTCAATCCAATGTCCAGTTAGAAAACGAAGATAGAAAGCTGATTAGTCCTCGATGGTACTCTTTCCAATCATTACTCGAAATTCACACAATATACCTAGAGTGCCTGATGGCACAGCAACGGAGCTAGAAAATTACATTGTGTGAATAACCTATTCATAAGTGATAAAAACCGGAGTATTAGGGAAATAATTAGTGATAAATTTAGGATATGACAATGACTTATGGGTCAAATGAAAGCTTAGAAATGAAAAAACACGAAAATACAGTAGTTTAAGAGCCTGCTAATTACTCAGTTTCATGCTCATAAGCCGATCCATTGACCTCAGTTTGCGCGGCCTGGAAGCATCTCCGGTCTTCACAAACAGAGTCGTGCAAAAATGAGTATATGAATATGTACTTGGTACATAAGTTACGTCGAATCGACGCGAAACACGATACTACGTTTACAAAACAGTATTTAAATTGTCACCAGTGTGTAATACTAACTTGCAAACGTATCAACAGTTTTTCTATTGTTTTATGTAATAATCAAGGTTACACTGACTGAATCACCGTAACGGAATAATTTGAGTTCAAAGTTTAAAAGATATGTTGTGGACCATAACCACTCTACGTCTGAGGATCTGAACGTACATTGAATATCTAACTTGTTGTTTAGTAACTGAAAGTTTAGTATTTGACGAACTACAATCTAGATAATCTCACCCTAGTGATCTCTGATATCCTAATAATATATTAACAAAGTACATCATTGTTTAGTGATGAAAGGCTAGGTTGAGTAGTCAATCACAAAAAGTCATTCTTCCCGTTTCGTACGTACAGATGGATCCGTCTATCGAAAACTCATTCACTGGGACTCGAGGCAGCTGAGAAAATAAGCCACTGAAACTGATATATTTCAGTATTTTGCAACACGAGGCTCAGAATCTGTTCGTTTGATCCTTAGAGTTATTAATAATAAAAATTTCTATGGAAATCCCGAATATTGGTATAAAATACTCGGTACATTCTTGAAGACGATAACATTGTTACTTGATACTAGTCATGATAACATGTTATCACTACCCATTAGTAGATAAGTGACTAATTTGTATATGTATTGAGGTCCACAGCGATGCTTATTATTCCTACCTGCGGAAGAATACTAAGCATGACAAGTTAGGTTTGTCATAGAGCTCTTCCAAATACCGGGAAAACACTCCATTCTTACACGGAGCCGACTTAATTTTTAACTTTACTAATATCTCGTTTCACTAAGAATAATCTTCAGGACACCACATGGTAAACCGGACTAGATATCGATACAATTCCTGCAGCTGTAAAAGTGACAAATTTAGCACCTAGAATGTACAGTGAGTTTCCTTACTGGTTTTTTAAATGGACAATTTAAAGCTAAAGTTTATTGATATTTGAGTTTCTACGTAGTGGTATTGAGTAGGAGTGGATTGCTATAGACTCTTTCAGATTACGTAATGAGGTAAAGCGTCGTAAAGTGATAAATACACTAAAGTGAATGAAGGTGAAGTATAATAAGAGTTTGATTACTTATCATTGTAAGGAACTAAGCACAGATCCAAAAATCTTAGATTTTTTAAAATCTATTCCCGTTTACTTTGTCATCATCGCGAGTTTACATAAATTAGCATGTTATCCTCTCCATCATATATATACACATATGATAAATGAGAAAAGGTAAATACCCTCTACTTTTACCCACCTTAAATAAGTTATATATTCCATTACCCTTATTATTGTGACACACACTCTTATATACATCTTATGAATTGTTCATTGTTGTGGATTGTGTCGGGTTTTTGGGTGTGAAGTATATTACGTTCTGGTCAGGCTGATTACATGTTCTTGATCTGAGTTGTGTTGAAGTCCTGTAGGATAGACACTGGGGGGGATCTAGTGTAGATAATCGTTAAGCGTTACAACATCAGACAAAGTAATACCGAGCGTTATAACAATCGACAACGGAACGTTATAACAGAAAGTTATCAAATATATTATGCATGATACATTTTCCATTGAATGTATAAAAATATTCCCACTTTTATACAAGTAGATTGATATAAACATCATAAATAATTAAATTTCATCTAGATCATCAATACCAAGTTCAGGGAAGTCACCAGCTTCAACATATTGCGGTTTTACAAATGCACCATACTTTTCCGGACATTGAAAATATCGTACTCCATCAATACTGAAAAGTAAATACAAAATCAATGTTTACTGATTCATTTACAGTCTAAATGTTAGAATTTCATCAGAATAAAATACTCAATGTATAATATTTGGTAATAAATCGCTCGTTACAACAATTACAAACTTTAATTCATATTTGACTTTTCGAAAATAACTGCATTTTATTGATCGAAACAGTATTAGGGATTGTTACAATCTCGAAAAGAGCACAGGTCATTGACGACTTATCGTGTATTTGTATTGTTTTGTTCTTTACAAACGATTTTAGACTGATCATGTTGTAGTAATATCAGATAATAGGTTTCAAGACTAAATTTCTCTTGATTATTCATTTTGATGTGCAAGTTTAGAACTAGATAACCACAGGGAACTTAATTAAACATCCATTTTTACTTATGAACTTAAGATATTTTTAGTTTTCTGTTTTTATTATCACTGACGGTAATAGGTTCGAGAAATTAATAGGTATCTTACAGATAAGGTTTTGGAGTCCTTCAGAATAAAATTTAAAACTCTCGCATATACTTACTTCAGTTACAGAGTTTAAGTAGTATCGATAGTCTTCATACAACAAGTGTGGTTTAAAGCTCAGTACATTAACTTTAGGCTGATTAAATTGACTCTTTGTACATAATTGTAAGCTTATCAACTTAACTGTTATTAGAACATGAACAAACTTCCTGGCTAGCTTTTTGTGCACTTGATTATATATATATATATATATATATATATATATATATATATATATATATATACAGAACAAGCTTTAAATGGTTTTATGCTAGATCTGTACCTTCTTCGAAACCTTAATTACGGGCTGCTAGTTTGCTACTTGCAATATCTCTTTATGTCTAGCCGTGTAACATTTTCTACAATAGTGGTTTATAAATGGATATGAATTTGAAAAATCCCATTCACTACATATGCTAGTACCTGGGACAGGGAGACTTTAGACTTCTCTTCTGATGGTTTTTCGTCTAAGAGTGAGTGTTGGGGTCTTAGGATCAGGATGCAATTTATTTTGGACTGCCTGAACGTCAAACATATCTTGACTACCAGGTTTGTCAATCGTTGATATTTCTCATAAGCTTCTTTAAGCGTTAACACGTAGGATCCTAATCGAGACGATGTAGCGGTCGTGTACGAAAATCAACCAAATTTTCGGATTGTGAGCTACAGATGAGTATTAATGGTTTGAAGTGGTCTTTGTAAAGAGCTTTTAATTCCAAATACTCACATTCTCGATTTACTATTTCAATATGTGTAAGAGAATCGTCCTCTTCATTCATTAATAGGCTCATGAATTGATAATGAGAATGAAAAATCGAAGACTGATCACCAAGCAGCTGACCAAGTGAGGTGGAGGTATCTGTAAAAGTTCTTTTACGTGGATTTTTCAGTAATATAGTGCTACAATATTTATCAGGTCTTGTTACATCGAGTTTCTGTAAAAAAATGTGTACTTTCTGAGAATCTACAAAATTAACACTAGGTATATCCTCATAGCGACGAATTCACGTGTGTACTGTTACATTTGAGGAATACCTAGTTTAATTATGAACCGCCAACTGTAAATCATGATTCTAATTCGCCACACTGGTTTATAACCCTCATCTGGTCCTAGTTGTTAGGTGGACACTATCAAGGTCAGTCCACAAATATGGCCTTACCAAAAACTCTATTTCTCTTTGGATATATTAATTGAGAATTTCGAATTTCTATGCACATATACACACATAAAAAGCTTACTAATGATAGATTTTAATTGAACAGGTAAAAAACACATTGATATGAAGAATTATTACACTCTACATTCAATACTTGAAAGCTAGCGTTCGTTGATAGAAATTCTATATAAACTATTTAAATTACAATCCTCAAATCAATGAAAGGGTTGAGGTATTGTGAAAAAAAGCTCACCTCCCATCATTCCTTCCTAAAGGTTCATCATAACGAACTCCAACCCAATAACCAGGTTTAAATTTGGTTTGACCTGAAAATATTTATGATAAGTATTCAGATTTCATTTACTGCTATATTAATTCGGAATGAATATTTATCAAAATTATAGCATTTTAAATCATCTTAACGCTTCAGATCTTTGCTACAGTTTGGATGGTGTATACAGAAAAAGAAACACTTCTAGGTGGTTACCATAACGTTATATATCAACAAAGGTTGCATGCAATGTAAAAGATAACTAAATCATTGTAAAAGCAAACTGATTTAACATCCATCAAATTGTTCGCTTATCCATACAGTATTTATCGTAAATCTATAGTTAGAGTATAAAGATTTCTGAAGCTAAAATAGGTGTCAACTAGCACCATCGGTTTCATCAAGAAGCCAACAATATTTTTGTATATAATTTCGAAATATTGATTGGTGACTATATATGTAGATCCAAAGTGATGAAGTTAAATAGGAATCAAAGCACTAAAAAGAATGACTCATTTTTTAAATTCTAGATTTCAAGAACTTTGAAAGCTGTTTTATTTATTATTTATTTTAACACATAGGTATTGGTACAAAGAGGGACCAAATACATATGCGCCACACAAATCTCAATTGATTTGTGTGAGGGCTGTGATACTGTCCGGGTGCCCGAACCGAAGCAGGTGGTTTTCTTAGCAAGCCACACCCCGAGCCTTCGACCTGACCGTCTGACCCAAAAGGCAGTGGAGCATCGTAAGGAGATGCAGTCCCATGGTAGCCGGTGACCAACGATTGGTTCATACGCCATTTATTCCTTCAGGATACTGGAGCCCATGTGCACCATTGATTTGGGATCCGGTTATAGCGCCGGATATTCGCTTTTCGTCCTCTCATTTTCGTAAACAACACCCCCGCCACGAGAAGGCAGTGAGTAGGACTTCCATGACAGAGGCTATATACGCGTTGCCATGTGAGAGCATTTGGAGAGGGAGAGCGGACTCTCCCCACTCTCGGCCGTAACAGGGCATTTGGGGGCACTTTGAAAGCTGAATCCCACTTAAATAATAATTAAGTTTAGTAATATAGTTTATAAGGCTAATTAATTACAGGCTTTTCTCAATTTTCATCGCTTTGGCTGCCTTTGTTGATGATAAAACCAATAGAGTTAAGCCTACTGACAAGTTAACTGAACGTTTCCCGGAACAAACATTTTAAATCCTAATTTTGTTAACTATGATTGATCCCCATTATTCCTAACGTTTTGTTCATTTTATACTTCAGATGTTTTCAAATTTTGGCATTTTACGGATCAACTAGATACTAATCATTTAAGCATAGATGAATGGTGGCTAACAGTGGTATCCAGGACGCGCATTTCGTCCTATTTAAGGCTCGTCGGTTGGATATACCTGTATCCCAGATTTAACGTACACTCTGAGATTCCAACCTATTACCTTTCGCTTCAGATAAAAACGCATTGTCCACTTAGATACTAAGTTCAGATCACCACTGCCTTATTCAATAGGATGAAGGTAAATTCAGCTGGTCAGTACCAAATAGGACGAAACGCACGTCCTGGATTTTACCGCTAGCCACTATTCAACTTCTCTTACAATACTTGAGACTTAATAGCGACATCGAGGCAATTCTCACAAAATGCACATATGCCGAAGAAATAGACTGAAACGACTTAGCTAATGAATATTACCAGCGACATATCCACACTAAATGGGTTAGAGTGAACAATGTATTCGAATAAGTTAATCGCTTTCATTCAAATGTACTTGATAAGAATATTTGTTGGATGCTTTTCTCATTGAACTGATTAAATATGTTTATTTACAAACGCTAGTTAACTTTAAGTAATCTTAATGACTGATTTGTTTTATTGAAACGGATGCATTTAAGTTTACATACCATCTTCTTTTACAATAATACTCATAAGAGTTGTTTTAATTTATTCTGGTTGTTAACTCCTACTGTAATTGAGCATAGAAAATTTATTTGTTTAGTATGATCATTTTATATTTAAATCTGTAAAATATATAATACTTATATGTGAATTTTCCGAGTTGATAAACTTGTTTCACTCGAACAGTAATATATAGTAACTCGTTACAAAATGAATATGTTGTGATACTGGACTATGACGGGGCAATATGAACTGACAAAAGACTACATAAAAAAGTGCTGAATTCAACACGATTTGATCGATTCATCCAAAAAAACATTGATTTTATGGGTTTTTTACTTACTTACTTACTTACTTACGCCTGTTACTCCCAATGGAGCATAGGCCGCCGACCAGCATTCTCCAACCCACTCTGTCCTGGGCCTTCTTTCTAGTTCCATCCAATTCTTGTTCATTTTTCTCATATTTATCTCCATTTCCCGGCGTAATGTATTCTTTGGTCTTCCTCTCCTCCTTCGACCTTGAGGATTCCATATGAGGGCTTGTCTTGTGACGCAGTTGGGTGTTTTCCTCAATGTGTGTCCTATCCACTTCCAGCGCTTCTTCCTGATTTCTTCCTCCACTGGGATCTGATTTGTTCTCTCCCACAGTAGGTTGTTGCTTATAGTGTCCGGCCAGCGGATCTGAAGTATTTTGCGTAGACAACTGTTAATAAACACCTGTATCTTTTGGACGATGGATTTCGTAGTTTTCCAGGTTTCCGCCCCATACAGTAGAACTGTCTTGACATTTGTATTGAAAATTCTGACTTTGGTGTTGGTTGCTAATTGTTTTGAGTTCCAGATATTCTTCAGTTGTAGATATGCTGCTCTTGCTTTGCCAATCCGTGCCTTCACATCTGCATCAGATCCACCGTGTTCATCGATGATACTGCCCAAATATGTAAAGGTTTTTACATCTTCCAAATTTCCTCCGTCAATTGTGATTGGATTGGTGCATGCTGTGTTATACCGGAGAATCTTGCTTTTCCCTTTGTGTATATTGAGACCTATTGCTGTTGAGGCTGCAGCTACACTGGTTGTCTTCTCCTGCATTTGTTGTTGTGTATGCGATAGAAGAGCCAGATCATCTGCAAAGTCTAGATCATCCAATTGCATCCTAGCTATCCACTGTATCCCGTGCTTCCCTTCAGATGTTGATGTCTTCATGATCCAGTCGATCACCAGGAGAAAGAGAAAGGGTGACAGTAAACAACCTTGCCTGACACCGGTCTTTACTTCGAACGACTTTGTCAACTGTCCTCCATGCACGATTTTGCAGTTTAATCCATCATAGGAATTCTGTATGATATTGACTATCTTCTGAGGCACGCCGTAGTGTCGAAGAAGCTTCCATAGGGTTGTTCTGTCCACGCTATCAAATGCTTTTTCGTAGTCGATGAAGTCGATATAGAGTGATGAATTCCATTCAATTGATTGTTCCACAATGATTCGTAGAGTTGCGATTTGGTCTGTGCACGATCTATCTTTACGGAATCCTGCCTGTTGGTCTCGAAGTTGGGCGTCTACGGAGTCAATAATCCTGTTTAACAATACCCTGTTGAAGACTTTTCCTAGTATTGAGACATGAGTGATGCCCGTGTAGTTATCACAGTTGCTGAGATCGCCTTTCTTTGGTATTTTGACTAGAAGTCCTGCTCTCCAATCTTTTGGTATCTGTTCCTCATCCCAAATCTTTCTGAAGAGAGTTTGGAGTATCCTTGCAGTTACCGCCACGTCTGCTTTCAGTGCCTGTGCTGGAATGTTGTCTGGTCCTGCTGCTTTACCACACTTGATTTGTCTGATAGCTATGCTGATCTCTTCAATCGTTGGTGGGCCAACATCGATTGAGAGGTCCGTGAGTGTTGCTTCGATGTTGGTTGGGTTTAGTGGGGCTGGTCGAATCAAGAGTTCTTTGAAGTGTTCTACCCATCTGTTTCGTTGTTCTTCAATGTTGGTGATTATCTTGCCTTCCTTGCTTTTCACTGGTCGTTCTGGTTTACGGTGATTTCCAGAGAGTTTCTTTGTTGTTTCATACAGTTGTCTCATGTTTCCTTCTCTGGCAGCCTTTTCCGCCGTCAATGCCAAATCCTCCACATATTTACGTTTGTCAGTTCTGATGCTCCTCTTCACTTGATTGTTTACTTCTGTGTATTCAGCTTGTGCCTTGGCTTTTTCTGCTCTTGTTCGACTGTTATTGATTGCTGCCTTCTTGTTCCTCCTTTCTTGAATCTTATCCAGTGTATCAACAGTGATCCAATCCTTGTGATGGTGCTTCTTTTGTCCCAGAACCTCATGGCATGTTGAAGTGACTGCCTCTTTTATCTCTTTCCAGTTGCTCTCCATAGTAGTTCCTTCTCCATTGAGTAAATCATGAAAGGCCTGGAACTTATTGCTGAGGGTTATCTTGAATTTATTGAGTTTGTCAGTATCCCGAAGAAGAGCCGTATTAAATTTTTGTGATATTGTCCTCCCCGTTGTCCAGTGCCTCTTGAGTTTCAATTTCATCTTGGCGACCAGCAAGTGATGATCTGATGCTATATCAGCTCCTCTCTTTGTTCTCACGTCCTCCATCGTCCTCCTGAACTTTTTGTTGATGCAGATATGGTCGATTTGGTTCTGTGTGGTGTAATCCGGTGAAGTCCATGTGGTTTTGTGTATGCGTTTATGTGGGAATATAGTCCCGCCTATGATCAGTTTATTGAAGGCACATAGATTTGCAAATCTCTCACCGTTTTCGTTCCTTTCTCCCAGTCCGTGTCGTCCCATGATCTCTTCATATCCGGTGTTGTCAGTTCCAACCTTGGCATTTAGGTCTCCCATTAGAATAGTCAGGTCTTTTGTTGGACACTTCTCGACGATTGACTGCAGCCTATCGTAGAATTGATCTTTAGCGTCTTCGTTGTATTCGTTGGTAGGCGCATAGCATTGGATGACGTTCATTGTAATCCCCGTTTTCTTGGTTTTGAAGGAGGCTTTGATGATCCTTGGTCCATGAGATTCCCATCCTATAAGTGCATTTTGTGCTTGTTTGGACAGCATCAATGCAACTCCTTGTGTATGTGGAGCATTTTCTTGTTCATGTCCGGAGTATAACAGCAGCTCCCCTGAAGCTAGTCGTTGTTGTCCAACTTGCGTCCAATGTGTTTCACTGATCCCAAGCACCTCTAAATTGTATCTCCTCATTTCTGCAGCAATTTGGAAAACTCTCCCAGTCTCCCACATTGTGCGAGCATTCCATGTACCTAAATAAATGGTTGCTCTGGTTGTCAGAAGGGGAATCGGCCTCGTGACTTCCGAAGAAACTCGGCTTTCATCGTGAGGCGTCATAATTCTTCTAAACGAAGACCTTCTGACTCCCAGGGCAGAGTTTAAATGGTTTGAATAATTCTTTCTGGTTAGCGTTTTTTTAGCGAGTTAGTTTTCTACGGGATGGGGTCGCTAACCCCATGCCCAACCCTCCTCCTTTATCCGGGTTTGGGACCGGCAGTAGCCCCCGGAAAGGGGCTCCAGGCGGAGTTTTTTATATACCAAAATCATATTGAAGTAATTCCTTAGGAAAGGGACAATATTTTTATGACATATTCAAAAATATCGTTTTATAGAAGGAATTTTTTATGAAATTTTTCTATTTGTTTAGACAAACATTCCTAATAAAATATCTTTTTGAGACCGGATTTCCGACTGACTATGTTTCCTGAAGCCCCGAAATGAACTGGCACAGCCGAGAGTGGGGACAGTCAGTTTTCCATCTCGAAATACTCTCACATAGCAACGTGCATACAATCACTGACAGGGAACTTCTACCCACTGCTTTCTCGCGGCATTACTGTTGTTTACGAAATTCAGAGGACGAAAAGCGAATGTCCGCATTTTACCGGGTTGGTGGACACAGAGAGTCCACCTAGGGGAGTTGGAAAACCCCGATTCCAAACCAATGGTGTACATGGACTCCAGTATCCTGAAGGAACAAATGGCGTATGAACGAATTGTTGATCACCGGCTACCATGGGGCTGCATCTCCTTACGTTGCTCCACTGCCATGTGGATCAGACCTTTAGATCGAAGGCTTCGGGTGTGGCTCCCTAAGAAAACCACCTGCTTCGGTTTGGCATCCGGGCAGTATTCCATCGAATGATTTATACGGCGTATATCTAAATAGTCGTTATGAAATATTTTTTATGGAGTTATTTCTACTATGATTGAAAATAAAGTTTATTCGGAAAGGTCTTGAATTTTTTTCAAAATCAGCTTAACACTAGGATCTTGCGTGATTCTAGAAAACAAATTATGGATTCAAAGAGCAAAATGAAATCATTTGGTGTTAGGCATATATTTTGAGACATTTCATATTTATCATTTATTCTAGCTTGAAAATTTTAAATACTTGATTTAAAAGATGAATCGTGTTACAACTATTTGCACATGATAAATAAATAGCGTAAATGGTAGAGCCAGATAATAGATGTTCAAAACACATTAACAGTTGAAGCTTAATGTCTTTGTCCATAACCTGCAAAGTATTTTTCGCAAAATCACGTTAGAAACTATAATCGGAGTGTTTGACCAGTGAGGATGACAATTAACAATCGGAAATGACAGATTTAATTACTTCGACCCTCAATTTATTTTTATTTATTCACAATTTGAAGCTAAATACCTTTACATTTAGGTACGGAAATATATTCTTTACTGAGAGGAAGCTTGTTATCTCTACTCGTCAGTTGTTAGTATACTTTAAACAGTTTAAAGTATGGCATTACATTTGATAGTAGAAGTAGATAGTGAAAACTTAGTAGTTAAAGGACTCAACTTTCAGCTAACAAGTTTCACGCTCGAACTTCGTTTAAATCACATTGATCTGAGTAACTGAGGTTATACTACTAATCCTCTGAAAATTAAGCACATAAACGTGTACTTAACAAACGGATGGATATCATCAGAATAGGAATAGTTGGAAATTTGGATTCTATCAAAAGTTCAATAAAAATAAACTTATAGATTATATACTTACCAACGAATTCTATCACACCTCGCTTTGTCGGTTGACCAGGAATTCGAACTTCACACCTGATGTATTAAATGTATACGGTTAGAACGTGAATCCATGTAAGTAGTTTAATGATAATAAAAAATTATAATGAAACTGCAGCCATAAATTTCTAGGTCTTCATAATGACTAATTTTTCAGAATTAGATTTATAGACTACATATTCCATAACCATAAGAATACACAGAAAAAGGCCTCAAAGTATTAACTACGGATTTATATTTAGTCTATTCATATTTATTGTTTTAACAAACTAAGTCATAAACAAAATAAGATATGGTAAAAGTGTATATTGAACTCCGGTGTGTTGCGTTCTATGAACTAAGTGGTTAAGCTGCAAAATTTTCATTTTCTTGTTAGACAATATCATTAGCGCTTACTTCACGTAGAAGTGAATCATTTGATTATCCCATGAGTGACAAACCATTCCACTCTGATAACTTTGTTTGTGACTGATTATCTTTATTTGTAATCTTATTCCCATCGTCTGTCTTATTCAGTTGACCTCTGATCATGCGAGTTACTAAACTTTTTGTTGCATTCGTGGAGACGTGATTACTCAATAGAGATTGACGCTTTTAGGAAGTTCTCAGCATTCTTTGAATTTCTTTGACCCATAATTTTGGTCGCGTTGGTTGTCTGCACCCAGAGACATACATGATAACAGTTATTTCGTCTCACTCCTAGCCTGTGTTTATGTACGCGTAAATAAAGGATACGTCTACCTTGTCCAATGTACTGCTCGTTACTGTCAATACGTTTTCTCAAATAGATAATGTATCAGTTTAAGTTATTATCATTTTGTCTGCACGAGACAGAATTACATTATTGTGTTAGTTTTTTAGAGACATTCATTCTGAATGGCTCGACAGTCATTATAGTGATTTCCGAGGTATTTTCACACATAATAGAACGATTTGTTTCCTAGCCCACGAATGTAACTGCGATAGTACGTTAACTTACTAAACACTTTTTAGTGAAACTGTAGGGATGACCTTTTGTTAAAGACTGATAGAAAAAGTGTTTCTTCAGCTTTTGATGTAGTGTGGATGCTTTAGTTAGTTCTGGCTCTTATAAATAGTGTCTGTATGCAACTCTATTTGTGCGCTGTTGTAATCCTCCATTTGTTTTGTATGACTCAACTTTTATAACTGTTTCTGCGTTTTTTGTTGATTATTACATTCAGGAATGGATATTTTGTTTGGTGATTATTCTTCCTTTGTAAACGTTGTGTCTATGAAGATGTTGTTAACCAAGCCTGTCTCTCCGGAGGATAACAAATCTGTCATCTGAGTAACGTATTTATTTGCAGGTTTGATTATTGACTAAAATTTAGCCTCAAGTCTTTGTATAACAGCTTCTACAATTCGTAATGATACAGGCAGTTCTAAAGGAATTTCTTCGGCATATTCATAAACCTGTCTATCGAAATAAGAAATATGTTGTAAAGTGCATTTCGACGAGTTTTATTTGGATTTTCTTTTGTTTACTGATCAGTTATGATACGGTATCTTTGGGGAATATTGCTACTATCAAAGTAAATAGAGGTGTAACACCGGATACCAGTATTTCAAGGTTACTTAGTTGTACGTATTTGATCTTGTCTAAAAACATACCATGTAATTTAGTCAGATATCTCAATATCCCATAGCTCTTTAGACAAATCGTGAATTAAGGTAATAAAAACTGATACGATTCGTTATAAAGGGGTATCTGTTATGCGCAATAGAATTAAAGGAAATAGGTTCGTTAGATTTTATTCACCATTGATCTTGTTTTACTTTGGATAAGTTTGCTTAGTATTTCGGTACCAACTGCCACATTTTACATGAGCGAATCAAGAGATGAAAAATGAAAAAAACCTATCTGGAAGGAGCCATAAAAATTCGGGAAGTAAATTTATATATTCATGAATAGTATCGCTGAACTTTTTAACGGGTATAACTGAAAATATAGTTCACTAAGATGTGCGGTTATGGGATAGTAATTGTTATTTGTACATAAGTTCAACAGCTATCTGAAGGGAAGTAGGATATGGTAGTATCTGTTTAACATTTGAATCAAAATATGTTTAACGGACCATATAATATAAATAGAAAAGGACTGCGGAAAGATTTCTACCTACCGAGAACCTATAGATAATGATTCAGCATTTTGTTTTTCGTGAAATTCTGCCAATTGACGTTGTTCTTCTGTTCGTTTCTTTTCTTCAGGATCAACGTCTCGAAATTGCCCAATTTTGTTACGCCGTTTCCATGCCAACACTGATTCTTAAAGAGTAAACAGAAGTTATATTTACCATGATAAGTCACAATTACCTGATATCAAAGGACAAAAAATTTAGCTGAGATTTGTATATGAGTATAAATAAAAGATATTCTTTGTTTAGTTGAAAGACGGTTTACAATTGTCGTTACATATTGAGATTCCTCACATAAAAATTGAAAGACAGGGCATTAAATCAGTTAAACGAGGCGACAATAACATTCGATTCATCAAAAATACCCGACCTGTACCTGTTAGCACATTATTGATACTTATCTCTCAAATTACAGGAAAGACTTTAACAACTTTGTAAAATTGAGTAGAAACATTAATACACAAGCCTAATAATGACAAACAACAGTAATTAACGTACCCTCACGTTTTGCATACTCCTCAGCCGACATGCGGTAAGTTTCAACAGATTCCTCAACTTGGTCGTATGCTCCATCTTGTATCGCCGGATCTGCTACATGAATGTGCATCCCATTTTCAATACCGAAATCACAAAGTGGTTTATCATCACCAACTAACTGACCCAAGGATCTATCCTCTATATCAAACAACTCTACTTTCATTGTACGGTTATCGCAACCTGTAACTAAAACTAGCTTCTCCTAAAAATGACTAATTAATGAACTGAATTACGAATACTTTCAATTGACCCAAAGTTATATCAAGCGGATAACGTTTTTCAGATCTTAATTTTGAGGCATTTGTGGTGATCATAAGATTGACAAAATTGGACATTTTTCGCAATATCGTCACTGCTATTAACAACCTAATACAGAGTTCAGATGAAAGCACTGATTAAATAATAAAGATTTATGACAGAAAACTAGATTTTCAAAACAAGCATGAATTTATTTATCTTATTTATTTGAACAAATAAACATTGGTAAAAGAGAGCAGCAAATACATATGTGCCAAATAATAACAATGAGGTTGTGAAGAGATAGAGAATGCATAATAAAAGAACAGAGAACACAAATTACTGTATGAAAGTGAGATACTAATAATAAAATATGGGAGAAACCGTTCAGTTGGCAGAAATATAACTAGAACTGGCTACTTCAATGATTGCATATAAGGATATAATACAGTAAGAAAGAATTAGTTCGCAGAAAGACAATGAAGCGATTTTAATCTTATAGTTTAAGGGAAAACAGAGTGTATACATCTACGATATTGTGACCCATTCTGAGCCATGTCACACAGTCTCCAACCATTGGTTACGATAGTCACGCGGACCACACCCCCACACCAAATCCAACACTAGTCAGCATTGCACGTCGTGTTCAGGTATACGTAAGAAAGTGGTCCAACCATCACAGTCGATGAAGATTTACAACCTCATTGACTGATTTACCATTATTCCCTAATATCCTACGTCTAACTTCACTATTACTTAGCCGGTGATCCCAGCAGATGCGAGCAATATTTCTAAGACAGCTGTGGTCAAGTACTAGTAGTTTACGAGTATTTTATACTCTTAATGGCCACGTTTCGCAGCCATAAAGTAGAACAGAACGAACTGCTGCGCAATATACTCGTCCCTTAACTTATAGACGAGTGCCTTGCCTTCGCCATAGGTGACGTAAGTTGGCAGAATCCAAACGAGCTTTTCGAATCCGTGCAGAGATTTCGTCAGACACCAACACACTAGGGCGGATCAGACTTCCAAGATAAGTGACGTGTCGATGCGTTCGAATATTTCACGCCTAATACTTAGTTCAGGTGTTCACTCAGGCCAGTCCTGAAGAATCAACTTGCATTTACACATCACATTGCATTCCTTCTCCCATAGGGAATAAGCAGCATGACTGCTCACATATGTGAGGACAGCCAACCATCTTAACGATTCACTAAAAATGGCAACACATACATGAATATGTAAAGAAATTTCAAACCTTAACTGAATAAATCAAGTCAAAGTCAACCGAGTATGCAATAAATGCACAGAAGCAAAGTAAATACATACAAGTACACTTTAAGTTAAGTAAACTCAATTAAAGTGAAAACTAGTTTTGATGCCTAGTTGACTATTAAAACAGTAGACATAACTCAACGAGGAATAATATCAGTTTTTTAAACAGCTAAGTTATATAACTTAGCTGTATTATATAGTACGAAAAAAGCGACGAATCTTAAGATTTGACTCTAATTAAGTTTATAAGAACCAAAGGGCTCCAGTAGAGAGAAATTATATATATTAAAATGTTCAAAAACACTTTGAATTTACACATTAGCAAGTCGAAATCAACATGATATAAAGGATTAATCCCTTTGAATTTGACTGCGTTTTAGTACCTTAGATGGTTTACGAAAATTATTCCGGATAGAAAGAAAATGATTTCAAATCTTGGTGATTGTATCACATGGTCATTCACAAACGAATTTCTGGCAATACTCACAAAAATAATAGACCGAAGACTACAGACCCCGGTTTCAAAAAACCCGGAGTACGCGGTGCCGCCGCTATTTGCTATGTTTTTTAAGAGCTTACTATCAGTGACCACAAATTGTTATAAACAATTTCGTAATCGAAATCTGATATAAATTTTATTTGCCTCAGTTGATTGTCTCGACTGTTGAATATACTCACTCACGAATACTTTGATGAATCTATCTGCCTATATCGCTTCACCTCATTCAAACCTTCCACGTAAGACTTCCATACTCACTAAGTATTATTTATGGTAAGATAGCGGGTAGATGGTGATCACTGATTGACTAAAATTCGAAATATTGATCACAGTATACTCAGCAACCAAAACAAACTTTTATCAGTCACATATGAAGAGTTAGAAACGATGCAATTACTCAGTTTCTGAATTTAGAAAAAACACCCCGTTATTGGAATTCTCCATCAATAATGGAAACTTTGTTATCTAGTTAGCCGTTAGAAGAGTATCAATCGTTAGTTCCATTTGTTTCCGCCCAACAAACTGTGAAATTTTCAGACGACAAAAAATGAGTCATTTGTTTAGTAGCGTTTCTTTTGAGCTGACTTCTACGAACAGATTAGTCTGTAGGACATATTTTCAAACATTTATATAAATTAAAAAAATGATTCTATTGATATCACGAGCTAACCAAGTGAAACAGCCTTTGAAAATTTCGGAACACTGATAACATTTTTAACCATAATCCGTAACTTTCCAGAAACGCATACCTACAACGGCATCATCGCAGGCCAGGCTAAGGATCTTCGGTCTCTCAATCTACTGCTTAACCTTTGAACCACTGATCCAGATTCAGTTGATATATGGCCCTAACTTCTGTCAGCTCATGACAGCATGAGATTATATTTCGTTGACTTTGTTGAGTATTTTCCCCTTACTTGATAAGGTCTAACCTCACCTGTCTCAGCATCTAACTAAGAGCATAGATTTTCTCTTGAAGCAAATAGCCAGAAAGCATATGTTTATCTAATTCTAAACTTTTTTCCACTTTACACCAGTTCGTGTTCTTAAAAAGCATTCCACTCTTTACAATTTTATACGAGAAACTATTGAAACCAGTTTCAGAGAAAATTCAGAGTATAGTCTCAACCGATGTAATTAAAAGAGCAGATAATATAAGAAAGCTTTCCCCTCCGTAGCTATATCTTTTTAACAGGTTGAAAATATTACATGTATTCATGAGTTAATTAAAGCTAGACCAACACGGAAAACTTGGAAGCACTCTACGACCGTCTCATTCCAGTATAAGACTCCTCAGCAGTGCGCATCCACGATCCCGCTTCGCGAGATCCGAACCCTGAACCTTCGGTCTCGCGCGCAAACGCTTAACCTGTAGACCACTGAGCAGGCATCCAACGGTGTTAATATCCAACTTCAACTAGTCCACAAAATTGTTCCACCGTCGAATGCTTACAGGTTTTCCATGGTGGTCTAGCTTTAATTGACTCATGGTTCGAAATAGTATTAGACTACTTAGGTGATCATTTGTAAAATGGAGGAACAGTTCTAGGTTTCACAGGGAATAAGGGTATGTGCTTGACCGTTTGCTATCAACTTATATTGCTCATTCAAACAAGCAAGGTCATTGCCAGGTGTGTATTAATGGTTGAAAACTGAGTATCTGAAGTTACTTGCAAGTGCGCTCAGTTAGAAGACATGGACCTTAGCAAGCCAAACTTTCGATCCACAGAACTACGGATTCGCCACTTGGAATTGTACAAAAATATCAAGATACAAACGTATGATACGAAATCAGTGCCTTTTTCCTCTCTTATTATCGTTTTCAAGTCGGCCGAAAAAGTAAACAAAAATGAAATGAGTGTCAGATAAAAACGATTAGGATTTTGCTGTTGTGTTCGGGGTTTGTGAAATAGACAAGAAGAAAACAGAAATATGTACGTATATGTATCATACAACTGTTTCGAAGCGCCACAAAAATTAAAAATTCAACACGACGTTATAACGCACAAAAAAATAAGTCACAAGCTTAGAAAGTTACAAAAACTCGTTTTTAAAAAGCTGTCTACCAAATTCTTTAGAAAGTGATGTCTTTCAGAACGTGTTGACTTTGGTCAATTTCCGGGGACTACCAAAGTTTTAAGATGCTTATTGTGGAATAAAGGTTGTAATTATACTTTTATGTTGCTGTTGGGTGGTCCAACTGTAAAATCGATGAAGGATTGATCGTTTTACAAACGTGAGATCTCCATTTCGTCAGTGATATTTACATTAGGCTTCGCTTATATTCAAGGCTGTAATGTGAAACCTATCAGATTCTTTCTTAGGCCTCATCATGCAGTGGGTTCAATGAGTCCTGTTGCTCAAAAACGTGTTGTCTGTATCGTGAGGTAGGTTGACTTAAAACGTCAGTTCAGACACGTATTCATTGAAACTAAGGATCTAAAAGTTCTTCTGATAGTCCCAGAGTTGCTTCGTTAATAATTTCGACTCCAGATTCACTTTTATTTCCCACGTATATTTGTTTATTGTCTCCTCTACTAGCCGGGTGATTTGAAACGTTTTCATGCATAAACATGAGAACGTCTGCTGTGTTCTACAAGGGATACCTCAAACTCTTGATAGCTAGTTTGTGGAGCATGATTTGCTTGCTATTCAGAAGGCACTTAAAAACAGTATGACTTCTCATTTGCACACACTGACCTATTTACAGGCATTAAAATACCAAAGTGTGAAATATGATATTGTTCCTTTATCTCCCTTATCTAAGTACCGGTTATGTAAGTTTATGAAAGTTTTCTGTTCAATACCTCTAGTTTTGTATTGTGTGTAGTAGTCTGTATTAGAAATTATCATGGAAATTTGAGTTATTCAGATTACTTTACACAACGTGAAGTGTTCTGGTGCAAATGAACTCAAGAAAATCCCGCTGAGGGAAACTCTGTATGTCTCTCTAAGGATCTTAATGCTTTTATCCGTGTTTGAGAGGTAAAATTTTTATCACGAACTACCACTGGTTAGAGCACTGGTTATTTTTCCTAAGCTTGCATTAGGACTGGAAAAATCTCTATATGTAAGACTGGTCATCATAGCAATCATAAAAATTTTCGGGAACGACGACCGAGTCTTAGGGGTCTCTCACATCATATGTTCAATAATTGGAACACCCCTTCAAGATAGACTATACTAACTTCATCCGTAAACAGTTATGGGAAAACTGAACCTCTGCAGATGCATTTGCGCTTCGAATAGGAATTTTCATTGTATATTTGTGAAGATATGTAGTTATGGCTTAGTATATGAAGGACTGCACTTCCGGTAAGTTTTTTCTCATCTGTTTCGTCCTGAGTTTATAGGTGTTTTATCGCTTTAAGACTATTCATTCAAACAGCAAGTTTGTTAAAATCTTCCTATTTCGACGTGTAAATGTCGCCTTAACATCGAAAGCACCCAATCTGCGTCTGTAAATTAGGCATAGGGCGCCTCTGGACCACCAACAGTGGGAAGAGTCAGCTCTCCCTCTCGAGATGCTTTCACATGACCACGTGTATACGACCACTGGTTTTATTTATTTTTTATTTTAACACATAGATATCGGTACAAGAAGGCACCAAATACATATGCGCCACACAGATCTCATTTGATATGTGTAAGGGCTGTGATACTGCTCACGTGCCCAAACCGAAGCAGGATATATATATATATATATATATATATATATATATATATATATAACGGCTAGAATAATGCAGCGTTAATATAAAAAACTGCAACTTGCCCACTGCTTTCTCGAGGCTTCACTCTTGTTTACGAAATCGAGAGGATGAAAAGCGAATGTCCGGCACCTTAAGCGGGTTTGTTGATTCAAAGGGTCCACATAGGGGAGTTGGAAAACCCTAATTTCAAACCAATGTCGTACATTGGCACCAGGATCTTCAGGAAACAAATAGTGTACGACCCAGTTGTTGGTCACCGGTTACCATGACACTGCATCTCTTTATGTTGCTCCACTGCGTTGAGTATTAGACATTTAGATCGAAGTATCGGGGTGTGGCCCCCTGAGAAAACCACTTGTTTCGGTTTATTCACTCGAGCAGTATCGTAGCCGTCACACATATAGAATTGTTTGGTGCCTTCTTGTACCAGTGTAGTCCCCAAACGCCCTGGTACGGCCGAGAGTGGGGAGAGTCCGCTCTCTCTCTCGAAATGCTCTCACATGGCCACGCGTATATAGCCTCTGTCAGGGAAGTCCTACTCACTGCCTTCTCGTGGCAGGGCTGTTGTTTACGAAAATGAGAGAACGAAAAGCGAATGTCCGGCTCTTTAACCGGATCCCAAACCAATGGTGCACATGGGCTACAGTATCCTGAAGGAACAAATGGCGTATGAACCAATCGTTGGTCACCGGCTACCATGGGAATGCATCTCCTCACGATGCTCCATTGCCTTGTGGGTTAGACCTTTAGGTCGAAGGCTCGGGGTGTGACCCCCTAAGAAAACCATCTGCTTCGTTTTGGGCACCCGGACAGTATCACAGCCCTCACACATATCAAATGAGATCTGCGTGGCGCATATGTATTTGGTGCTTCCTTGTACCAATATCTATGTGTTCAAATAAATAAATAAACTGTAGATATCACTTTACCTCGTGATATCAAAAATTGTTCACTAATAAATAATACATCAATTCCATTGAAATATAAGCGGTGGCTTAATGGTCGCTGTCTCATTTTCAACCATCATTTTACAGGTGTGGATCCTGCTACATGGACTTCAGTTTGGTCAGCATGGTGTCGTCGCTAGTTTGCACGTGGTGTGATTAAAAGCTCGATGAATGATTTACATCTTATATCACTTTCTGAATATTTAAGATGATCCCTGTATGTCGTTAATGACAAGAAGTAAAATTACCGATTAAAATGTTTTATAATTTCGGGAGTAAAAAAGTTCTAACTTTATTTCTTTCATTCAGGTACATTAAGACGAAAAGTTATGGTATTAGATTTGGATGAGACACTGATTCATTCAGTACACGATGGAATAATGCGGCCAACGGTCAGACCAGGAACACCTCCAGATTTCGTTCTCAAAGTTTTTATTGACCATCATCCTGTTCGCTTCTCAGTTCATAAACGACCACATGTTGATTTTTTCCTTAATGTGGTAAGTTCTTTCAATATAAGATTATGAGTTTTTCTCAAAGGCTTCAGAGTAACGCATTTATATCCTAATTAACGTTTATTTTCTTCACTTTTCAGCTAAATACATGTAAGTAGGTTTATATTAGTTTCTGAATACCTAGTTTAAGTATCCTTAAAGGTATTACAATTCTATGAGTCATACTGTGATTTATGATACTCGACCGTAGCTGCTACCTTGACGTGGTGGTCGGGCTTGCCTATCGTGATGACCCAACCGAGCTATATTGGCTGGATCACATGTCCCTACAGGTTCTACCATGCCAGGCAGGTCGATTGGAGAACGGTAAGACCAAAAGCAGCAACTCAAGGTCTGAGGGCGAAGTCGTACTGCTGACTGTACAGAGGTGTGACAACAGTAAGGTGTTTCCCTCGGATAGCCAGCAACTGCAGCGATGCTGCCTTCTCACAAGAAAGAAAGGGGTTAGAAAAGGTTGACCCTAAAAATGTCACACCTCACCTTACCTCACGGATCTACGTCTCCGGCGGTAAGGTTCTTTGAAGAACGGAGCTAACACATTAAAAACCTCCCACAAAAAGGCCGTGCGCGACCGGCCTCAAGCAGTTGTCCCTTGGGCTCTGAGGTCACGCACCCAGGTCGCTAAGACCAACACTAATCCGATTTCCTTTTCGGGTTCCTCAAGAAATACCCTTCCACGGTGTGAGCAGCCGGGAAGTGGCATCAGCCTTCATACTTGTAACAGCACGCAAGACCAAGTTGGTCACATTCAAATCCTTCCTTCACCTCCCAATAAATCTCTTATCTCCACGACTAACCCTTCTCACGTCCCTTTATCACCTCGCCCCACTAGTGCGAACGATTCGAGTACGCGGAACGTTATTCCTGGTCTCCTGAAACCACGCTCCAAACTACACGTAGGAGCTTTCAACGTCCGAACACTGTGCCAAATAGGACAACAGGCTTCCTTAGCTAGGACTTTAGAATCTCGCTCCATCGATGTGTGCTGTGTCTCCGAAACGCGCATACAGGATCCGAGTAGTGTCATTCATTTGACCTCACCATGTCAAAGTAACAAACCAACTCGATTTACACTTCGTGTATCTGGAAGCCCTGATGCTGCTTCTCGTGGCCTCACTGGCGTAGGTATAGCATTGAGTTCTAGGGCAGAACTAGCTCTCTTAGACTGGATCCCAGTAGACAGTCGTTTGTGCGCTGTCCGACTAAACGAAACAGTAAGGACTCGGAAAGATAGGGACACTCGTTGTTGCCTCTTCGTCGTCTCTGCCTACTCTCCCACTAACTGCAGCTCAGATAACGTAAAAGATGAGTTTTACAGAAAGCTTTCCGACCTTCTCCGAAAAGCTAGGCGCTCTGATGTGGTAATAGTGGCTGGTGACTAATGCTCAAGTAGGTAAACTAAGCGAAAGGGAAAGACACCTAGGTGGATCTTATGGTGTCGCGGCTCAAAGAACAGATAATGGCGACCGTCTGTTGTAGCTATGCTCAGATAACCGCCTGTTTCTTGCAAACACTAACTTTAAGCATAAAGAAAAACATCTTTTGACATGGCGACCCCCTAATTCGTCCCAACGTGGTTTGGCAACTCGAACTGATGTACGTATGTACGAAGTTCCACGTTGTTATTGACTGACTGACTTATGATACTAATGCTATAACTTTTTCCTGCTATATGTGTATACTAATTCGTGTTACTAAGGTTAGACGACTAAGATGTTCATGTTAGTCCTGACAACATAGGTCTCACTTCGTCTGTTCTCCTAGATAAGTTTATGGATGGGGTTGCTGTCACCTCTGAAAATGGGGGGTTTTAATTATTAGGGACTCATTATGTAGTCGGTGGTCAATTTAGTCCTGTGCTTACGACTTTTGGCATCCTTACACGTTTTTGATATTGAAAGACAAGTAGGCAAGGTTATGTTAATACCAATGTGGTTAATATGTAATCCAAAAACTGTGATAAATCCATCTCGGATTCTTCTATATGATAACAGATTTAGCTGAATAAAGTACCACCCGAAAGCTTGGAAATTCTGAAGACAGTTCCCATCAAGTTTGCTTATAACTTCAGAAAAGAATTATTTCTGTATTTACGATATTTGAGCTTTAGACAAAAGGTTACTGTATTCATTATCGTAAACGCTTTGAAAAATTATTAAGCGGCATGTATCCTGCCCAAATATACTAAGAGTGCGACTGTAGAGCCACTTACAATCCCGTTGTTTTAAAGTGTTTCGTGGTCCGTTGTGGGTTTTTGATCGACGGTGAATAATTATCCATTTATTAACACATCACTGACTATTAGGGATCATAATGCGCTTGACATGACTTATTGGCATCCACCAAATATAGGGTCGTTCACTTAAAATACATTGCGGTCTCTTTGAAACCTTATAATATTCCCTGCACTTAATTTTACTTTCCATATCTTCATGCTATCTGCGTGTGGCGAAACTGATAACTTCGGAAGCTTAGGTAGGTCAATTAATCACAAAACGTGAAATTAAGATCAAGATTGTCGTCGGAATTCTGTATAACACGGGTTTTGAGCCTAAAGTCTTCTTTGTCCCCACCTAACTAATATATTTGTCCATGCAGGTTCTTTATTGCTTCAGTTTTCACTTCGCTTGGTATTTATTTTATTTATTATTTGATCACATAAACATTGGTATAAGGGGGCACCAAATACATATGCGCCACACAATAACAATGAGGCCAGTAGCAGTTATCATTGATTTGTGTGAGGGCTGTGATACTACTCGGGTGCTTAAACTGAAGCAAGTGGTTTCCTTAGGAGGCTACTCCCTGAGCCTTTGACCTATAGGTCAAATCCACAAGACAGTGGAGCAACGTAAAGAAATTCAGTCCCACGGTAACTGGTGACCGGTAATAGGTTCATACGCCTTTTGTTCCCTCAAAATCCGAAAGTCCATGTGCACCATTGGTTTGGAATCAGAGTTCTTTAACTCCCTTCGATGGACCCACTGTGTCCACCAATCAGGCTAAACCGCCGGATATTCGCTTTTCATCTCCTCAATTTCATAAACAATAGTGATATCGCAAGAAGGCAGTGAGTAGGACTTCGCTGGGACTGCTACCTGGTATATTTTACTGTCCCATAAACCTTGCTAAGGACAGTGAATACCACACGTCTAGCTAGCTAATCTCATGGAACCAGATTTTTCATGTCATTGATAGATTGTAAAGACAGGAATAGCATTTTGATGGAGTTTTGTAATCTGAGCTGGGTGGTTTGGTCGTGGAGTTTCCATCGTTCTTCTGAACGACACATCAGCACAAACTTCACCATCTCAACAGGAATACCATCTCCTAAAAGTATGACACTTTTCAGGAGGCATATGGTTTTCCTTCAAGTACCCGATATGAAACCTAATATTATTGTCAGCCTTCATCACGTCGACTCGATTTGGAACCTGATAACCGAGCGTGTATTCCCCATTTAAGCTATTCGTAACGTTTATCACTTCGTTACGGTTAGTGTTTAGTTTTAAAAATGATTGTTCAGTCTCCTGACTAGTCCCATGGCCAATATGGAGTTCAACCCTACAGCTCATTGTTGCTTTTAGAATATTACCAGTCAATAATTAAACTACACTTCAATAAGATGCTAACGTTATATAAGTAAAGTTTGCCTCAGATTAATCCGTCAAAGCCAGCTGAGTCTCAGATGATTTAGTTGTGACAATCGACGGTATATATAATTAGCGGCATCATCCTTGGATTTTTTCAGTTGTGTGAAGCAAGACATAAGAGCGCCCATTATATGTTGTAGGTGTGTAGAAAGTGAGAAAATCCCTCATCAAATATGTCAAACCTATAATTTTTCGCTCCTAGGCCTACGATTAATTTTATAACTGATAATTTGTTTGTGTGTGTACATTGAATGGAGTATCATTACTACACGTTGACTATTGTTTTTCTAATCTATTGAATTTTCTACTAATTATATAACTCAGGTTTGGATATTTTCTTCATATATACACTAAACTCTTAACTAGTGTTGTTCGGTTCCTATGACAGATAGTTCACAAACCTTTCGCTTGTAATGACTAAGGGGTTTTTTGTGGTTACGATTTTGTCAATAGATAATTTAAAGGTTACTTAGTGGATCCCTGTGTATTTCTTCCTGACCTGGACCACTTCAACTTATATCGTAAAAAGTTTAAGTATGTAACTGATTTAATTCCGAGTGATTTGTTCTATTGCTTGCCTCATAATTTATTGATTACATTATTATGAAAATTTTTACCCCCTACTAAAACCTAAGTAATATTTACGAATTCTGAATTTAATAACCTGCCCTAATTTTGATATGATTCTCTTTAGATAAGCCAGTGGTACGAACTTGTAATATATACAGCTAGTCTTGAAATTTACGGAGCAGGAGTAACGGAGCTGCTCGACAACGGACGCCATATTCTTCAGAGACGATTTTACAGACAGGTCGGTTATTGTTGAGGAAATTATTTCCATTTCAGCGTTACGTCCATAATTGCTTGTTCGGTAATACAATTAGTGTAAAATTTAAAATAAATTCTATTCTTTTTGATATCCATCGAAAGATATGGAATCCATTCCTCTTCCAAGATCTATAAATCGACAACATTGTACAAATAAATATATAAGTTGAAAATATTCATCTATTTGGCGAATTATTTTTCAGTGAAGGATCTATACTTGTATCCTATGAAAACTTAGTTCTAAAGATTATTAGGATCGATCCCATATGATCTCTAAGACAGTATCCCTCATTTTGAACTCTGAATAGTCTGCATGAAGTGTGAACACACGTGGAGTTGAAATCATCCAAGTACCATCATTTCCCTACAATATCGCTTATATTCTAATACGCAATGTTCTACGTGTATGTTAGATTAAAGTGTTACCACGTAGTATTCCTGATTTCCATTTTTCTTAAGATGATCATTCGTGCTTATCACCAACCCAATCAACAAAGCCACTTTTTTGTCTTAGACTTTCCTATTCCACAATAGTCAATTACAAAACAAGATTATAATGGGTTACAGTCGTCTTGTATTTATTGTCCAGTCACCTCGTTTCTGAACAAAGAACTATGGAAAAAACAGTTGAAGGGGAACAACCAACGACATAGCCTTATATTGCCAACTAGAAATGTTTAGCGCCTTAGAATGCTGGGTTTAAGTTTAAATAGTTATAATCTAATTGAAGGTAACAACCTTGGAGAGTATGAGTTATCTAATTTTGTGCAAATCTGGTAGGCACGTTATGATTATGTCTATGTTACCTTTTTATCCATCTCAAGTTAATTGGTGTGTGTTTACTTGACCTGTACTCAGCCAGTATAAAAGTTTTAACATAAATTAACCATCCTAACATAATACCTTTCTTTCGTAATCCATTCTATACGATATCTGAGGACTTATTGTCTTCAGTTGTGTTTAATGAGAAATAAAAATAAAAAGGTACCAGTTAAATAGAAAACAACCAATTTGCTGTACTTGCCAGTTCTCAGGTCATTTGTGAATCAAAATTGCTGGTAATAAATGTCTATACTTCTCATAGAGGTTCTCTGCACTGTAGAACAATTTAATGATGACCCAATATTACTAGGAAAACCAGAGCTTCTACGTGTCATTTTATCATTGAATGAAATTAAACCAATCGTTCAAGAATTGTCTAGGTTCGGTTCATAAAAAGTTTACAATAAGCATTTTAAACTCCAATTAAGACAAAAAATGTAATATTTCTGGTCAGCCAGTTTCATAAGTTACTCTAGGATCATGTCTCTATCTTTAAGATAGATTTTTATTTATTTATTTTGACATATAGGTATTGGTACACGGAGGCACCAAATACATATGCGCCACGCAGATCTCATTTGATATGTGTGAGGGCTGTGATACTGTCCGGGTGCCCAAAACGAAGTAGATGGTTTTCTTAGGGGGCCACACCCCGAGCCTTCGACCTAAAGGTCTAACCCACAAGGCAATGGAGCATCGTGAGGAGATGCATTCCCATGGTAGCCGGTGACCAACGATTGGTTCATACGCCATTTGTTCCTTCAGGATACTGTAGCCCATGTGCACCATTAGTTTGGGATCCGGTTAAAGAGCCGGACATTCGCTTTTCGTTCTCTCATTTTCGTAAACAGCAGCCCCGCCACGAGAAGGCAGTGAGTAGGACTTCCATGACAGAGGCTATATACGCGTGGCCATGTGAGAGCATTTCGAGAGAGAGAGCGGACTCTCCCCACTCTCGGCCGTACCAGGGCATTTTGGGGGTAGATAGATGTAAGACTGAAAGCTATAATGTTTCGGTGTTAATAAATTTAAATTGTTTGCTAACTTTTTTCGTTTAGTGATTTGGACCTTAGCACGTTTATACCAGGTTCTCGGTTGATTATAACTAATTGAATCTCTCATTTCTATGTTGTTGAATGTCTTGGTACTTTAAGGAAGCGCTTATTTGGTGTTTTTTTGTTTATCTACTGTTTCAGCATTGTACATATGATAATGGCAGCTACTCAAAGAATCTTTCCCTAATTACCTCTGATATGGCTTCTGTATTCATATTAGACAATTCTCCAGGGGCATATCGATCATATCCCGGTAATTTTGTGCAACTTATTACTATATTTCTAATTCATCTATTGTCTAGCTTGTTTTTGAAGGAAATTTAAGGTTCTTTCAAACTTGAATCGTTTTTAAACATTTGTTTAATAATTTTTGCAACCTGATCTCACGTTCGTTTCAGACAATTTTTATTTTCGATTTATGAAGAGTCGGTTAAATAACTTGTAGTTGAGTTTCGTCCATCTATTAACAATGGGACAATAATAACAAAGATTGCTTATATTGATGTCTTTCACCCTAATTTTTACCATGAAAAGATATAACTCGTACCATGATACAACCTTCTAGAAGTAAGGTTCTTCTGATTTTATTCAATGACTAATCGCAAGTAATCAGTGCATATACATTATCCTGTTAGTGTCATAAACTTCAGTAATGCAAAATAATTACTATACGCACTGTTGCTAATGGCAAGCCAAGCTCAATGTATGTAATGAGTATGTTATTACAGACTGATGAAAATTATGTTATTAAGCTCCCAGTCCCACATTGTGTTTATTCAAAGAACTTTCAGTATGTTGACGATAGACTCAACAACATTTTCATTTGTATCCAGTATCAGAAGAGAGTTCTGTCCAACAAAAGTAAAGCAACTCATATCAAATAACAATGACTGCATAAATGTTATCAACCAACTTGTGAAGGATGTCAGTGTAATGAATGTACCTAATATTTAAATGAAATACTTCGTGCTTTTCGCTGGTAGTCTTTCACGCATTTCTCACAGATCTACACTGTATGACGACAGTAAATATTTTAGACAATTTATATCAGATCCCCACCCTTTTTAAAATGAATACGACAAAGGTCTAATTATAACTAAATATATACTCCTAGTTTTCTACTGTTGGGAATGATGAGTACAAACTGTTAATCACACATAAACTTCAATAATTTCATTACAACATACCAGATATTTTCAAATGATCAAGTCTCTCTTCCTCGACAGAAATATATCCATCTTTGTAAAAAAGCTTGAAAATGGTTCTTTAGTTCCGATGTACTGTACCATCTTATTAGTTGAAGCTATCTTTATACACTTGCATCATCGAGTACATTAATGTTCAGCTATTAAAAATGCTCAAAATATTTTGACCAAAGTTGCTACAACAGTAAATCAGTTAAAATATCTTTTGAAGTCTTTTACTCAGCTTTCCAAGCATATTTAGTTGTCATCTATCATTGTGCCATCAATCTCAGAAGTGAATTAAGGAAGTGTCATTACAAACACTTTATTTGATACGGTCATTTGATAAATAACTTCAGGGTGTATTGTTTGGATATAGGGATAAAGTTATTTCGTTGGCAAAAGTAACTGTGCCACTATAGCTTCAATTTACGTTATGATAACGGTTGTTTACATATCATTATTAACACCTATACGTTCTCCTTAAATTGATATTTTTACTGCTTTGTTTGTCTTTCAGTTGAGAAATATTAATATGCTTATATCATTATTAGGAATAGCTTGAATTATCTTGTTAATATTTAGGACTGGATTTTGATCAGTATTTGTTGGTGTATGTGCACCATGTATGGATTGCCTCGATATAAACATTATGACACAAGTTATCCATTTTAAAATAATTTTTGTTAGTAATGAAATTCCAGTGTGAATATCAACAATAGGATGCTGTCCATCTATCTGATGAGTCCCAAACAGGACGAAATGTGGGTCCTGGATCCAACTCCTAGTCACAACTCATCCGTTTTATCAATATTCTTAGTTTCGTTTATTTATTTGTTTAGTTATTGGACTTTTACTAGTAATTGTCTCTTTTTGTCGTGTAGTAGTAGTCAAAGGGCTCGGCTTCCATTCACTAAGTCTCAAGTTCGTACCCCCTTCTACCCACCTCTGTTTGGGTAGCTGGGTTTTATCATTAATTCTTACACCTTGCGTGGTTTATACTCAAATACCTAGTGAGTGAGTTGATTTAGTAAAACTATTTGTTTCTCTTATTTTGATGCTTTTTCCATCTTTATTTTCATTCCTACAGATAATGCTATTCCAATTCGGTCGTGGTTTTCCGATTCACGTGATACAGCCCTTCTATGTCTGCTACCAGTACTGGATGCTCTTAGGTTTGTGAGCGATGTACGTTCAGTACTAAGTCGTAATTTACACAGGCCTCAATCCATACTACCTTAACACTAATACATACATACATGTTCTTTTGTCCGTATACCTGATTACTTTTTTGTGTGACCAGATTTTATAGGTTCTAATTATTATTAATACTTAGTTGTATATTCGACTTCACAACTCTCATTTCAGTTAAACCTTTCTAGTGCGTTAATCTTTATACTTAGAATTTTATCAGACTATATAATGTGTACATGATGTTTTCTAATTTCATTAGGGCTCCTTATCTAATAGACTCAGTACTGTGTTTTGGATTATTATTCTCAATATCTTTCTGTGTTTGCTACGTTTTTATTCATGTTTTAAAACTTTATAATCTTTTTGTCTCCAGTCCACTCTATTGTCTGCACAGTAATACTCTATTTTGCATCTGTAGTTTGATTCCAGTTAATGAATAACTTTAAGGAAGTGTTGTGCAAATTAGTATATATACTCTACTTTTTCTCTGTACGCCTCAGTTAATATGAAATAGATACAATTGATTTACTGATACACTACTAGAATAACATATTCTATTGTCCTTGTGAACAAAAATTGTATTATATTTTGAATACTTTGTTTCTTATACTTATCAGTATCATACATGTTGTTATTTTTAGAATTCCCTTCATGTCTAATTCCAGTCTCTCTATTTTCTTCTTCTAATGATAAAAAATACAGTTACTTAAACTTAATTATTACCTCAATAACCAATTCTACCAGCTTTCTTGTGTGTGTACATAATAAATATACAATTTATTTCTTACTGTAAATTAGCTTTCTTTTTATGGACATAGTTAAGCTACACATCGGAGTGGCCGGGCGGTCTAAGGCGCCAGACTCAAAAGTATTCTTCTGGGTGTTCTGGTCCACGGTGTGGGCGTGGGTTCGAATCCCACCTCTGAGACATACTTGCCCCAAATGCCGTGGTACGACCGAGGGTGGGGAGAGTCTGCCCTTCCTCTCAAAATGCTCTCACATGGCCACATGTATACAACCACTGCCAGAGAAGTTCTATTCACTGCCTTCTCGCAGCATCACCGTTGCTTACGAAATTGAGAGAATGAAAAGCGAATGTCCGGCGCTTTGACCAGGTTGGTGGATATGGAGGATCCATTTAGGGGGGAATCGGAAAACCCTTATTCCAAACCAATGGTGCATATGGTCTCCAGTATCCTAAAGGAACAAATAATGGATGGACCGATTGTTGGTCACCAATTACTATGGGACTGCATCTCCTTATGTTGCTCCACGGCCTTGTGGATCAGACCTTTAGGTCGTAGTCTCGGGGTGAGGTCCCCTGAGAAAACCGCCTGTTTCGGTTTGGGTATCCGAGCAGTATCATAGCCCACACACAAATCGAGTGACTTGTGTTGCGCATTTGTATTCGGTGCTTTTTTGTACCTATATTGTTCAAATAAAAATAATAAACTAAACATATTTATGATTATTACAATTTCTGATTGGTTTCGTTTATAAGAAAAATGCAAAATCTTATCGTAACTATAAGATAACTAGTTTAACTTAATGTTCCTACGTTCAAATCAATTTTGAGAAACATAAAACGAGGTCTTAAAACTGATCTTGTCTCTATCAACATTATTTATGACATTTAATTTCCAAAGAACATTACTGTTCACTATGGCTCAGTAACATTATGTAATTCTCTGAGTCTATAGGTTTTGTTAAGCTTACTCTAAATGTTAAAAATTATAGGTAAGATTTTTTGGGTTATACACTTTCCCCTTCATATTCATCATTGAGTTTGAACCTTCTCTTCACCCCTTCTCTAGTCAGTGTTAATGAAATTCGAAATTTAAATAACAATGCTTAATTACTACATTATTTGGTTCCTGAATGTATTGTTTATGATTGCTCTACATTGGTCGTATTCTGTGTTTGAATATCTTATTCATCTCATTTACATGGAAAATAGTATCTGCTTTAAATAATTATTGATCAACAAATTTTACCCATGAAAATATAAAGCCGAAATAGTGTATTTGCGTGCATGCATCATATGTCATTCAGTCGATTGGGTAGAACAGTCAAACTAATAATCTATATTGCACTACCTGTTTTCAATACATATAGGGATACCCAGTTTTAAGCAATTTGAGTAATTCAATATTGTTTCCCAGGTAGAAGAGTGTTGGATATTTTACAAAACTGTTTATGATTAGTTAAATATTTGTTATTTCATAGCATTATAGATTTGGGATTATTTGAGTGTGAATAATTTCCATTTTGTTAGAAGTTTATCAGAAACATTAAGGTAGATGGTTAGCTATCTTATCAAATTGTAACCATCCACTTCATCCATGTCTTTCTTCTTGTATATCCTCTGGTAGAACGTGATGTCAATACTTTAGAATCTATGCATTCAAGCAAAGGTATAAAAGCTCTACAACAACTTATCTAGTAAATATACTATGCGACGAATAGGTTGTTAGAGTTGACCTATCAATAAATTGTATTCTTAAACATGTTTCTAATTATAAAAAAAGTTGTACAAATTCAAATCTTCTTTAAAAGGAAACATTCCATTTAATTCCAAGTAGTCTATCTACTTAACTTATGTATGCAATTATCAGATTCTTTCACTTTTTCCCCCTTTTTTTTGTAAACGAAGCTTGTTGAAATATCTTGTACTGAGAATTCTATATTGTACCAAAAATAGAACATTGAATAATGTCAATAATAATGTTGCTAGATTTTGATTTCGTTTGATGAATATGTTATACTGGTTCCAATGTTTGACTTCGTGCAGCATATTCTCCAGTAAGATAGTATGCTGAAGCTACATAAAAACTATGAAAATCATCACTGTCATGTTACCTTACATAATCATTCACTATTTGAATTATTGTTTATAACTCCCAACACTAGACACTACAAAACTTAAATTGCTTACTATCACTTCTCTTGAGACGAAAGATTTTACGTCTGCTTATTTCTTTTGTGTATTATAATCATACATGTTGTTTTCTCATCCACTGCATATTTGAATTTTCATTAGTATTGTAGTGAACGAGAACACAAATGAAGACAATCGAATGTATTTGAACACAAAATTATAGAATCTCTTAGTAAAATCTGAATACCATAAAGTAAATACTTCATTTACAAAATGTCAATCAATTGTCTTAGACTTTATTGTTCCTTCATTTCTACATTAATCATTCTCTGTTCCTGTTCTCTTTTTTCTTCGATCTTCTTAACCTTCTGCCGTCAGGTATTTCACTTTCGATTGATGATGCATAGTGCTTATACCTATTGACATCAGTAGCGCACACCATACAAGTATTGATGAAATAGATATAATGTATATACCAGTCAAGTTCAGAACTCATGTTTTGTCCTATTTAAAACATGTTAGCCGGATGTACAAACCGTTACACATTAAATTATGATTAAAGCGTAAATAAATCACATGGAGTATTTAATAATTCGAACAAATATACTAGAAGACAAAATAAAAGTTGAGAAACAAAGATAACATTGTAACTATAATAAGCAAATAAATGTATGGCATTTGTATGTAAGGACCATAATAAATGTATTTAGTAGACAAAAGCATTTTCAGTTTAACATCTTAAATTATAAAAGTACTCTTGAAATATGTATTAAGTACAGCAGTACACTGTCACTATCTCGTCACTAACTAACTCTGTGATTTAATTGAGATCGATAATGTCGACCCTTGAATTCATATGTTTGGTGTATGGTTGTGTCATGAGTATGCACTGCTGTGAAAATCCGTTCTTGGATATAACAACTAATCCGTTGATTCATGGTCCTCAATGATTTTCTAGATCAGGTCATCCGATTAATTTCTTTATTAAAACAACTTGTTTGTCATTAATATTCGAATCACAATAACTATCATGATTGATTTGAATTTGTCACTTAAATAGTATTTATTTCACACTTATACAAAACGTCTATCTGATACTAAATAGCACGATGAAACCAATCTTACGAAATATAACCGGCTCAGTGGTCCAGTAGGTCAAGCGTTCGCGCGCAAAACTGAAGGATTTAGGTTCGAATCCCGCGAGCAGGATCGTGCATGTGCACTGCTGAGGAGTCCCGTACTAGGACGAAACGGCCGTCCAGTGCTTCCAGGTTTCCAACGGTGGTCTAACATCAATCGGTTCATGATCTCAATCAAAAAACTCAATAATCTCCGCAACTTCAATACTGATAATGCATTTTAATTTGGCTTGGTTCATGGTTCATTCAAATTACACCTGTTCTTTAACTTCGCGTAATACTTCCCTCATTCGGTTAATGAGTTTAGTCAGGTATCCATGACTAACTAAGCATTTACAACAAATATACATCCGTCAAAGTTCCTAGATTACCCCAAAGACGAAGAAAGTTGATTCGATAAAAATTACAGGAGTCGAAAAACCAAGGAACGTGAAGTATTGTTAAAACAGGATCCAAAAGAAGGCAAAAAGTGAATATTGTTGTATCAAGAGATGTTACCTGAGATCTTCGATTACTAATTATGATTCTAGCGTGAACCCCGACCAAGAAGTTTGAACTTTCTGACAACTCAGTCAAGTGGTTAATAACTTAGTGAATTGACGTCATGTCTTCTTCCAACCTACTGTAATCAGTCAGTCATTAATAGACCTCTAGCTCAAATTTAAAATACTGTTGGTAGTAATCAATATGTTTCTACTGAGAATTAATTGAAATACCCTAATACATTGATAAAAAGATAGATGATAGTTTAAGCTAATGAGTAATAATTATTATTCAACTATTAATTAGAACTTCATAGATCTTTATCAATATTACTTAACCTTCTGTATGATATAACAAAAGTAATGATAATAAATATGTTTTGTTATAGCCCCAAAAGTAGAAAAATAGTATTTCTGACGACGTTTCGTGACTTAATGTAAGCCACTTCTTCAGAAGAACTATCTACCCAATGATCAATTTATTTGAAGCTATCAAGTCCAACCTTGGTATTGATACTTAAAAAGTAAAGATGTTTTAGCGTATTTTTTAACCAATATAAATGTATACTGGAAATTTACTTATCAATTTTGATTATTTTGCCAATAAGATATTGTCCAAAATAGTTATTTAGACAGTTTAGTAATATGGATAACAATTCGCAAACTGAGATACATTATTAATTAGTTATTATAATAATTCCCATGGTTGAGATCATGAGTTAATTGAAGTTAGACCACCATGGAAAGCTTAGAAGTGCTGGACGGCCAACTCGTCCAACTGTGGGACTCCTCAGTTGTGCGCATCCACGATCCCGCCTGGTGAGATTTGAGCCTAGGACCTATCAGTCTCGCGCGAGAGCGCCTAAACACTAGACGACACGACCGTCCAGTGCTTCCAGGTTTTCCATGGTGGTTTAGCTTCAATTAACTCATGATCTCAACCATTGAAATTACTGTAATATCTACAAAGAAACCCTTCTGATATGAGTTATTATAATAGTTAATGATATACTATATGAGTGAACGTAATGACTTCTGTTTAACTGTCTTATCGATACATTGTGCAAACCAGACAAGATTTTACAGATCACATGATGTGTCAAGGTTGTATGACAATTGATATAAACGGATTATAATGATTACCTGAATTATTTACTTGATTACGGTCACCTTTTATATGTTCACTAACTGTGTCACTACGGTTATAAATATACACTGTAAGAATTGTTTATTAAAGTGTTCAGGATATACAACTTCAATCGCAGTCTGTTTTTTTTCGTTTTACATGAATTGG